AATTTTCAATCATCGAATTTGTCAATTAAATTGCGTGAGAAAAATTTAAATAAAAATCATGAATATTCAGCGCCATTCAAATTAGCTTTTGCACAGAATTATTATTTTTTTGAACATTCGTTGTTTATAAATAAATAATTAAAATTGTTTAAACTTTTGGAAACTTTATTTTTTATAGGTTTTTGGTAAAATTATGAATATGAATAAATTTATTACGATTTCGAACAAATGATTTTTATGATGGGAAATCGATTGTTTATAAGTTATTTACAAAAAATGCTCGTTATTTTCAAAAATTGCAATTTTTTAATTATTTCATCAATCTTCCTCCAAAAGTAAACTTCCTAATTTTTGTTTCCAGATTTCTAAAATGTCTTCTAATGGTCCCATATCGAGATTTAAATTCAGACCTGCAAACTTTAAATAATAAAACTATTGTAAAATCTCCGGAAACTTAGGGTCAAATGTGGTTTAGCAAACCGTGAATTACGCTTAGAAAAACGTAATTTTCGTGTAAATTTTTCTGCGCGTTTCGAATTCACTAGGTTTTTCTCTGGAATTTTTTGGCTTTTAGATTAGATTAGTGAAGACGATCAATGAAAATTGTTGGCTGGGTGAACCTGGAGTTCAACTCCACTATGAATTCCCGCTCTATGAAATTCTCGATTCCAATATCTAGGACAAGACTCTGAAGTGAAAAAACTAATACCCTTCAACCCGCTCAATACATCACGCCCCCAAGAGCCCTCACAGCTTCATGTACCCACCGGAACCTACCCTATTAACCACAATTCCTGATTTCCTCCAGCCCGGATCGAACACCATTGGAGCCCCCTTCATAAATTTAAATCAGCGTATGCTAATGCCTTCGAACGCTTTTATCAATCTTCGATATTGATCTCGCGGCGCATCTGACATTTTACCTGGTTTGACTCTTATCCTCCATGAAGAAATCTAAAAATATGAATGGAGAGCGGAAAAGGTCGTTCAGAGGCGAAGAAGTGAGATAAGATCGTATAAATATCGAGGCAACAAAGAGGGTCTTCACATATAAATGTGAATAAACCGGAAAAATTCAGAATCCGAGTGAGGATAATCCGCGGAAATGTACATTTGTTATGTTAAGAATATCCAAGTACTTTGACTATTTTTTCTCCAGTGAAATTCTTCTCTACTTTGAGCTCCATTTGAGCCTGAGTTTCCGGATATTTTACAATGCTTTTATTATTTAAATAAAATGTTGTAACGAATCGAATATTGAATCGAATGTTTGATTCGTCGATCCTCTTCCCTCTTCTCTGAATGTGCGTGTGTGTGTTTTGTTTCTGGTATATTATTATTATTATTCTTGGTTTCGAAACACGTCAATTTCGATATTCGGAAACTTATTTTGTGATTTAATAAATAAACCGCCCCTTCTCTGTATTTTACTGCCCAATTCATTACAATATAAATTATTATTTAAACTTTGCAGGGCTGAATTTCTATCTCGATATTGAACCGTTAGAAAACATTTTAAAAACCTGAAACAAAAATTAGAGAGTTTACTTTGGGAGGAAGATTGATGAAATCATTATTAAAAACTACAATTTTTTAAAATTATGAGCATTTGCTATCAAAATTTATGAACAATCAATTTTCCACCATAAAAATCAGTTATGGAAGATCGAAACAAATTTATTCAAATTGAAAATTTTAGCAGAAATCGATTTTATGCCTAAAAAATGAGATTTTCAAAAGTTTAAATAATTTCAATTATTTATTTATAAACAGCGAATGTTTAAAAAGATGATAATTCTGTTCAAAATGTAATTTGAATGACGCTAAATAATCATGATTTTTTTTCACGCAATTTCATATTGAATTTAATTCATCCTATATTATTAAAAATTTGATATTTCCAGTGACATTTCGAAGACTTTCGTCATCAAAAATTCACAATTTCATGAAAAAAATAGGAATTGTACATTTCAATTTAATGAGTCCAAGGAAATTAACAGAAATAAAAAAAATATGGTAAACGCATTCTTAAATTTTCTATGATGTGGAGGATACAAAGAGTATCGTTAAATATAAATGAAAATAAAGCAGAGAAATTCACAATCTGAATGAGGATAACCCAAGGAAATCTATATTTATCATTTTAAAATCGACATAAAATATCTATTCGCCGATTAATAAACACTTTCATTGGTGAAACATTAAAATATTCCAAACGCTCTCAGAAATCGATAGAATAATTACGTGAATGAGCACTATTTGAAATCTCTTCTCCAATAAATATTGAATTAAATTCATCCTGCATTATCAAAAATTTGATATTTCCACTGACATTTCGAAGACTTTCGTCATCAAAAATTCACAATTTCATGAAAAAAAATAGGAATTGTAAATTTCAATTTAATGAGTCCGAGGAAATTAACAGAAATGAAAAAAATAAGGTAAACGCATTCTTAAATTTTCTGTGATATGGAGGACACAAAGAGTATCTTTAAATATAAATAAAAATAAAGCAGAGAAATTCACAATTTGAATGAGGATAACCCAAGGAAATCTATATTTAAATCTATATATAAAATATCTATTCGCCGATCAATAAACACTTTCATTGATGAAACATTAAAATATTCCAAACGCTCTCAGAAATCGATAGAATAATTACGTGAATGAGCAGTATTTGAAATCTCTTCTCCAATAAATATTGAATTAAATTCATCCTGCATTATCAAAAATTTGATATTCCCACTGACATTTCGAAGACTTTCGTCATCAAAAATTCACAATTTCATGAAAAAAAATAGGAATTGTAAATTTCAATTTAATGAGTCCGAGGAAATTAACAGAAATGAAAAAAATAAGGTAAACGCATTCTTAAATTTTCTGTGATATGGAGGACACAAAGAGTATCTTTAAATATAAATAAAAATAAAGCAGAGAAATTCACAATTTGAATGAGGATAACCCAAGGAAATCTATATTTATCATGTTAAAATCGACATAAAAAATCTATTCGCCGATCAATAAACACTTTCATTGATGAAACATTAAAATATTCCAAATGCTCTCAGAAATCGATAGAATAATTACGTGAATGAGCAGAATTTGAAATCTCTTCTCCAATAAATATTGAATTAACTTCATCCTGCATTATTAAAAATTTGATATTCCCACCGACACGTCGAAGACTCGTCATCAAGAATTCACAATTTGATAGAAAAATCAGTGTGATCGGTAAATTTCAATTCAATTATTCAAAGGAAATTATTTTCAATAAAAAAACCCCAGTGGCATATTCTTCACTTTTCAATGAAATTGGAAATGCTCAATAAACTCCGATATTTATCTTCAAAAATGGCAATTCTACGACACTCTTTTTTCCCCCAGCCGACAGACTTCCAGCTCAGTCCTCTAATCTTCTTACGGCCTTATCCCGGATTTTTCCGTTCATGGCGTTTCGCCATTCACATCCTCGTCCCACGCAATCGCCGGGGCTCGATAATGTCACTGACGTGGATGAAGCTACTGGCTGCTGTCCACCACGCATCTCAATGACTTTATTAAATTTATTTTTCCATGTATCGACGTATTTACTCGATCAAAATAACAGTCAAGCGTCCTGACTATTTGTATTCGATGCCATTTCATTTACTAAATCTAATGATATAAAAATAAATCGAGAAACAATTTTCTATTCTTCATTTCGTTGATCCCACAAAAGTTTTTCTTTGTTTTACATCTACGCTGACAGAAAAAATAATTTTATCAAGAGAATTTTATTTCAACCATCATTTGGTTATTAATTTTCAAATAGACATGATTTTATAGTGAATACCAATTATCTCTTCTCGAGATACATTTGATTGGGAGAAATCGAACTTCTCTAGAATGAGAGTATTTGATTTCTTTCTAGCCAGAAGTTTGCCAACTCCAGAAATTCGTTGGTTTACTCAAAAATAAAAATTATTCTCATGACTAAATACGTTGTTATCTCAATCAACACGATCATGTGGTACAAAATAACGTGCAATAACAAATAAATTATAATTGAAGTGAGCCTTTCGTAGGTCGAATCAGGATGAATATTGTTACGCGGAAAAAGCTTCGAGATTGTAGTAAGATGTCGTTGAGTTGAAAGAAGTTTACATTTCTTGACTAAAAAAAATCGCATTAGTTTACAATGACAGAATCACCGATTACGGCAATTCAACACAAACTTGGATATCACAAATTTCGTTCAATGCGATGTACGGAAAGCTCAATTTCAACATTGACTTCATTCGAGAAAACAACATTCAATTCATAAGAACAACATTCAAACAACATTAATTTCAAAAGAAAAGAAAAATAGAATGAAAACCCTGAAAAAATTTGACTCGAGGAAAGTCTATAGAAAATATCTGAACAGAATAAGTTGCACAGAAAAATCTAACTCTCTTGACATTTTCTATAAAATATTTCTTATAACCCTCTATCAATCATTATCTACTGTTCAAAAAAAAAAAAAAAAAAAAATACTCATATATCAACGTATTCAATTAATATTATATATTCAGTTTGAAAAAGAAATCATATGAAAAATGTATTCACTGGCTGAAGTCCCTCGGGCAATGGCCTGTTGCGAGTTTGCTCGCAACAAATTCCTTTAAAGATTAAAAAAAAAATTTCTTTTTGAACTTTACCAGAAATCCAATAGAATTATCTGGCGAAGTCGCTACGTTTTTCTACTAAATGTTTCGGTGCGTGTGATGTCATCTCAATCCTCAAATCGTATTTTCAAAGATTCATTGACCAAAATATTTTCTTTGTTCAACAATTAAAAAGATATTTATTTAATAGTGTCCCGACCACCGAATGTAGCCTATGAAATCAACATACGTTCCTCCAAGGTCGTTCAAATGCTATACGTATGTGCTCGCCTCAAGTTCAGCATGTCAATAAATTTTTTTTCCACTCTTTATAACACAGACCAGTTGCCAGTAACTTCAGTTGGTGCGCAAAGTCCGGGCTCGACTATTGTGCACTCGTATCCTTCACTCATCTCCGTGACGAATTTATAGAGCATTGTGTGTTCTGCGATAAAAGAGTTTAATCAGTGGAAATTTCAATCAGTTTCGCGAATGCTGGACGCAAACGTGATTTCGTAATGAATTAATATTTGTTTGTTTGTTCAGTATGGAGAGACAATTCAGACGTTCTATTTATATTTTCTATTGTGACTCCAATGGCTGGACAGAAGCTACTGATCACGCGTGGCTGCACAAACAACTCCAACACTAGTAACAATTGCGTCAAGTAATTCTCTCTCAATTTGACGTACATGTGCGTATAAAAAAATTTAGCGGAAAAACCTAGCGCTTTCTCTGAGAAATTCTATTGAATTCTTATGGAATTTTATAAAAACCAGAACAGGGCGCGCGCTTCGCGCGCGTATTGTTTTCCGTGGGTGCGAGATTAGTAAAATCTTGCCGTTTCTCGCTTTCATTAATTTTTATCTCAATAATAATGCAGGAAAAACGAATGGTGTGAACAAAGTTTTTCACAATGGAAAATTAATTGTTGAATAATTTATTCGGAATCGTCCTAATCCTCTTCATCTTCTTCTTCGTTTCTATTTTACTTGTATATATATTTTATGTATATACATGTATATTTTACAGAAGTATATTAATTTTTTCACAGTTAAAAACAATTCAGTAGCGAAGTGGTAAAACGATTCAAGTCAATTTCGATTATTGACCAGTTTTCAATGAATATCTCGGAATCTAAGGGAGATAGGAAAATTTTTGTTATAACCTTTTTTGTAGAGCCGATTGAGAGCTACAATAAATGTAATTATGAAAATTTCACTGTTTCCCTTAGATTCGGAAATATTCCTCAAAAACTGAACTGGGAGACAACTCGACTTAAACCGTTTTTTGACTTCGCTACTGAATTATAGTATTTTTTTTATTTATATTTGTTTCTTTTAAAAAACGCGCAGATGAGCTGTAGAATTTGTCAATAGTATCACTCAAAAACTAATAGAGAATTCAATAGAAATGCAATAGAATTTTCCAGCCGAGTTGGCTAGGTTTTTCTATGAATTTTTTTCGTTCGTCAAAGTTCAGAAATATTTCGAAAGCTGATTTCAATTCAAAGGCTGACCCACTTGAATACCCCTAAGTACTTTCGGGAACTCCACTCATCTGAAATAAAAAGTTGTGAAGGCAACAATAACTGTTTTGATAACATGAGAGATTATTTGTTAATTGATTGTGTGAATCAAATAAGAAATGATTTCATGAAATTAAATCACGTGATTTCAATGATTTCAACGATTTCACATGATTTCAGATTGATCACGGACGGAAAAATTTAATAGAAAAACCTATCGAATTCGTTAGAAAATTCTATTGAATTTCTATTGAACTGTTCTATTAGTTTTTGGCCGATTCTATTAAAATGTCCAATAGAAAATATTCTGTAGAAACAGTCAATAGAATTCACTTTTTCTGTATAACTCATTCTATCGAGATATTTTCTATAGAATTTCCTCGGCTTAAATTCTCTAAGATTTTTCGTTTGACTTTCTTGATGAGAAGAAAAGAAAAATAGAATGAAAAAAACTTGGAAAATATGAGTCGAGCAAATTCTATAGAAAATATATGAAAAGAATAAGCTATATAGAAAATCGAATTCTGTTGACTTTTTCGATTGAATGTTTTCTATTGAACATGTCAACAGAATCAGCCAAAAACTAATAGAAAGTTTAATAGAAATTTAATAGAATTTTCTAACGAATTCGATAGTTTTTTGTATTCGATAGGGGAAATTTCCATATTTAGAGTTGAATATCGTAGAAACTGTGTACTATGAAATTTTACAAGAAAATTCACCGTATTCAGAATTTATCAATTTACCACGGATTTGTTTTTTAAGAATATTGTAAGAACCGTTTTCTCATAAGATGGAAAAATTTAGTTCGGACATAGAAGCCCGCAATTTATTATTTATTATCTCCTAAACTGTATAATACAACTAGTTAGAATTTTTTTCAACAGCTGGGGAATATGATAAACATTATCTATGAAAAACATGAGGGCAACTGTAAGAAAAACCTGTTTTCTGGGGATATACCCTGAGGAGTTCAACATTTTTTTCCTTTCAGAAAATGCCGGCAGTGAAAAGAGATATTCCGCTCACAGCGGAGAGTCAAAATGCGGCACGCCCTGTTAACAGCTCTCAAATCCCTGCTACATTGCCAAATGAAATATTGAAATCGGTGACAACCAGCGAAGAGTCTATTACTGGTAATTTTTTCAATGTTGAATAATTTTGTCTGAATTTGTTTCGCATTGAATCACATTTTTGAAACATTCTTCATCCTTTCCGTGGGTTTAAATAAATGTTCTTCAAATTAATGAACATTTACAGAGAAATATTCCTTTTCTTTCATTTTAAAAGACTCTTTAAAATAAAAAAATCTGAATTATCAACATTTTTTAATAAATTTAATCTGAATATATAATTTTTATAAGTACATAAATATAACAATTATATGTTGAGATAAAACCTTAATGGCAGTTATTAAAAAAGCATCTCCATTCATTCAATTTCCATAGTTATAAATAAATATTCATGAATTGGTGAAAATTTTTACGAGAAATATTCATTTTATTTTATTCTCATGCAAGTTTCTATATACTTGCACGTAATAAAAATAATATATTTAAATAAAACCTGAATTGCGACCATAAAAAAAATATCTCCATTCATTTATAAAACCATGAATGATGCTTGAATTTTAATCACCTTCAGCAGGCGTTTCGGAAGCTCCAACAGAGTCGACAGCGAAGAATATCGCGACAAAGATAGAAAATGTTGGTGAAGAGATAGCAGCTGCAACAGGCATCCCAACATGGGGAGTAGTGGCTATCTTCATAGGTAATTCTTCACACCAAATATCCGCAAAACTATTAAAAACGAAATGAAAAATTCACCCAAAAAATCATGACCGTCTTAAGTTAATAATTTCAAAAGTCTCAATTTGAGACTCATAGAATCAGGTTGAGATCAGAGATAGGCATAATCATAAATTATCATTACCATTAATTTCATAAATACTCCATCAAGTAATAGAACTCAACAATTTTCAATTATTAAATTAATCAACAATTAAATAATTGAATTCCGAATTATTTTACCAATCAATAATCGAATTCGGAAGAATGACGATTATTTGATAATCTCTAATATTTTTTGAAAATTTCCAATTATTTACCTAATAGTTATTGAAAAAATTTAGATTCTCAATTATTTATTATTTTTCAAGTTCCAATGATAAACGAATGAATTCGGTTATTTGGGGAAATAATCCTCTTAATATTTCTGGAAAAATGACTGATGCCGATCACTGGTTGAGATTTTGAATGCCGAAGTTAAAACTTTGAGAATTCTTCTTGACGAGAAATTCCAAGATGCCACATATGAAAAAATTCAATAGAAAACCTAGCGAATTCGCTAGAAAATCTATTGGAATTCTCAAGGGATTCTATGGGGTTTCCATAGGATTTCCATTGAAGTTCTATTGAAAAAGTCTTCTCGAAGAATTCGAATATTTCTCTTGAGATTTTTTCCATTTGAATTATTGGGCACAAATTTTTCAAGTTTTTTCCGCTGGATTGTGTTTTGTTTTGCATTACAAAATCCGAGTGGAAAAAACTTGGAAAATTGATGCAAGCATTCTTATAGAAAAGATCTCAAGGGAATAATTCAAACAGAAAATCGAAATTCATTGACTTTTTCTTATCGAATATCCAATGGAATCAGCGTAAAAAAACAACTAGAATGTTTCAATAGAATTCCGATAGAAATCCTATAGAAACCCCGTAGAATTCCCATAGAATTTTCTATCGAATTCGCTAGCTTTTCCATTGAAATTTTTCATACACGGAGAGAAATATTCAAGGAAAATTACGGAACATTTCACGTAATCCGCAAGCGAGAATCGTTTTCAGTGAATTTCTATAGGAATATAAGAGAATAAATCTGAAAAGTTCAGTAAATTTTCGGGTCTGTCACCGAAAAAATACGAAAAAGTCACGTAATTTTTCTGGAAGTTGTAAAATCTAACAGAAACTTCAAGACTTATTATGCCTCAGAACATGAAAATTCTTGGATGTTTAAGAATTTTTACGAAAAGTTCCGGAAAAATTACGGAACGTGTTGTTAAAATCTCCCCCTCACGGTGACTCATAGCTAGCCGTGAGGCGTCGGACGGATGAGTAATTTTTACGGAACAGATCGTGGAATTTACATGACGATTGACACTTTTTATTGAATTTTACTTCGCTCCCAGATTACGTTTCGAAACGTAATCTTTACGTCTTTTTCCTGGTAATTTTTATTAAATATTTAAGTATAAACATAATAAACGTAATTTTTCTCGACCTGCAGCTGTCGGCGCAATAGTCCTCGGTATCTGTTTCTGCTGTATAAGAAGATGCTTCCGCAAGCGTCGGTCAAAGGACGGCAAGAAGGGCCTGAAAGGTGCTGTGGACCTGAAGAGCGTACAGCTCCTCGGTGGAACGTACAAGGACAAGGTTCTTCATTATTATGTTCCATTTTTGTTTGGCTAGTCACTAGATCAATTAATCTTTATTCGCCCCCCGTGGAATCCACTTTCATGTATGTAGGTACAGCCCGACATGGAGGAACTGACGGACAATGCCGAGGAGCCGGACGAAGCTGAGAGCAAACAGAGCGAGGTCAAGCTCGGAAAACTCCAGTACAAGGTGAAGTGACGCTTGCCAAATTATCAATGTGGCTTGCCAAAACATATTCCAATTCATAAAACTATTTCCTTCTTCCCCACTCTGCACTCTGTCGAGGATTATCAGACACAACTGGAATATATGAACATTTATTGACGATATATACCATTAATGTTGAACATAAACTGACGATGTACACCATGGATGTTGTTTTTGTATTTCTACACTGTTAGAAATTCCTTGAAATTTCAGTCACAGCTTTCAGTAAATTTATCATTCGTCTTGAAAATTCAAGAAAATTAGGCTTTTCATGTTAAAGTAGCTCTAGCCTTACGGTAAATTCAAAGATCGAAAACTGTAAATAAATTGCAGAAAACTCGATTGGATTCGGAATTCTAATTTTTTTCTCAATTTAATTTAAATCGTTTTGGTTTTTCAAAGAAGAAATGTTTAAAATTCAGGATTTGACCCAGTGTCTTATGTAAAAATCAACATTTCCATTGTAATTAATTGTAATTGTAATTAATTGTAATTAAAGATCTGAATTTTTTTTCACTAGATGTGAAAAAATAAAGAAATTTTTTGAGACCTCATAAAGAATAATCCACGGTTTTGCCAACAAGTTTTATTATTTATTTATAAGAGGGAAATGTCTGAAAAATATCAATATTTTGCGAAATTTAATTTAGATAATACTGACTGGGTATAAATTTTTTCCAATTTTTTCCATGCAATTTAGTTGAAAAATTTAAAAACTGAAAAGATTCAAAAGTACAGCTCAGCCCGGCCGAAGGGTAGAGCTACTTCAAATAATCATTGAGTTTTGAATGAAAGCTTGAATTTCCAAACTCATCGGGAAAATTCAGTAGCGAAGTGGTAAAACGGTTTAAGTCGACAGATCCCCCAGTTGAGTTTTTGAGGAATATTTTCGTAATTACATTTGTTGTAGCTCTCAATCGGCTCGACAAAAAAGGTTACACCACAATTTTGCTATCTCCCTTAAATTCTGAGATATTCATTAAAAACTGGTCAACAGTAAAAATTCACTTGTACCGTTGTACCACTTCGCTGAATTAAACATCACATACTATTTAATTTTCATTAAATTGAGAATTCAGAAAAGTTATTTCCTGAATTTTCAAAAATTTCGAGGGTTTCCAGTGTCGTATGGACCTGAAAATCGAGAATTGCTTCAATATTCAAAAAATTAACTGATTCATCAATGAAGAAATCGATAGCGAAGTGGTAAAACAGTTCAAGTCAATTTAGACTATTGGCCAGTTTTCACTGAATATCTCGGAATCTAAGGAAGATTGCAAAATTTTTGTTATAACCTTTTTTGTAGAGCCGACTGAGAGCTACAACAAATGCAATTACAGAAATTTCGCTATCTCCCTTAGATTCGGAAATATTTCTCAAAAACTCAACTGGGAGATGAGTCGACTTGAACCGTTTTACCACTTCGCTGCTGAAATATACAGAAATTTCACGTAACTTTGTCGTTGTTAAAAATTCCAAGCTTTTTCACTTGAAATTTTAAGAGTAATTTGTCTAACAGTGTACTAGCATTTCCTCACGTTCTAATGAAATTAAACTTGATCTCTCCAGCTCGAATACGACTTCAATTCGAACAGTTTAGCTGTGACTGTCATCAAGGCTGAGGATCTACCTGCACTCGATATGGGTGGCACTTCAGATCCTTACGTTAAGGTTTATCTTCTTCCTGATAAGAAGAAGAAGTTTGAGACTAAAGTGCACAGAAAGACACTCAATCCTGAGTTCAATGAAACTTTCACGTTCAAGGTAAGCGAATGGGAAAGAAATTTTATGGAACAATGTGAATTCGATAGTACATTCTATTGGATTTCTGTTGTACTTTTTGGCAGTTTTTTCCCGATTCTAGAAAGAATTTCACGGCTAATCTAGTGGAAATGTTCAATCGAAACTGTTTAATAGAACAAATTTGTAGGACTTCATCTTTTGCCTTTTCTGCTCGTTTTTATCTTCTTTTTATTAAAAAATATAATAAGATTTCTTTTGAGAATTATCTCAAATTGAGACTTTCAGAGCTCCTCTCAAAGAAAAATTACCATTTCAGTTCTGAAATTATTAACTTGAGGCATTCAAAAGTCCCAATTCGAGTCTATGAAAGTGTCAATGTGAAAGTTTGAAAGTCTCAAATTGAAACTCCAAAAGTCTCCACTTAAGACTTTCGAAACTCTTAAACTTTTAAACTTAACAATTTCCAGCTTCAAATTAAAATTTGGAAATCTTTTTTTAAGCCCTTTAAAATCTTGGAATAAAAAATTATTTTCTTGGAAGTAGAACATTTGAGCGGAGAAATTTTCAATTCTTACGAGAAATCCAGTAGAATTTTCTGTTGAATCCGCTAGGTTTTACTATGAATTTTTATCATCCTTGAAAAAGTTCGATTGCAACATGCAAAATGTTGATGAAATCGGAATTATTTATTCTGTGTTTAGGGTGTTCCATATGCTGATGCCATGAATAAGACCCTCGTATTCGCCATCTTCGATTTCGATAGGTTCTCGAAGCACGATCAAATTGGGGAAGTCAAGGTACCACTTTGCCAGATTGATTTGGCACAGACTATTGAGGAATGGCGAGAGCTGCAGAGTGTCGAGGGTGAGGGTGGACAGGTGAGTGATCAATTCGATGATTCTTTTTGACGATTGTACATTATTCGCTCTTTCCCAGTCATATGAGTCATTCAAATCTAGTCAAATGACTCAAGATAAATTAAGACTCCGTTGGACGCGCTATCACGTATGAAAAAATGCTATAGGATTTCCTATAGAATGTCCTATAGGATGTCCTATAGAATATCCTATAGGATTTCCCATAAAAAATCCTATGGAGAATTCGAACATTTCCTATAGGATTTTTCTGATAGGATTTCCCACAGGATTTCCTATAGGATTTCCTATAGAATTTCCTATTAGATTTATGACCCTAATCCTGACCCTTGCGACCGATTTGTTTCGAGTCTCAATTTTGTGTTACTTTCTATAGAAAACCCTATAGTGAATTCTAGAGGAAATCCTATAGAAAATCCTATAGAAAATCCTATACGAAATCCCACCAGAAAAATTCTATAGGAAAGGTTCGAATTCTCCATAGGATTTTTTCATACGTGATGAGCGCCGCGCCGCACTTTTTCTGATTTTTTAACCCCTCACCTACGGCGTCGATACCATGCATCGACCCATATAATAAGCTTCTCCTATCGGCCGGGGTCAATGCATGGTATCGACCCTTTCCGCCAGCCGTAAAACATTATTTTCTCGAATTCTAAGAGACATATTGACATTTGGAAAAGATATTTGGAGAGTGAATGGAATTGTCTCTGCAGTGAACTATTTTATTTTATTTTTTCCGATGCATTTATAATATTTTTCTCTATGAATAAAAGTTGTAGATGAAAATTTTACATCCAACCGATTCAATCATATTAAATCATCTCGTTTATCGACAAAATTTCCCCCAAAATTTTTGAAATTTTTACTGAAAATACTTTAATGATCCTTCTATCGAATGGCAGAAGTTAATTTTCGATTTGTTGAATAATTTGTTTGTTATAAATAAATTTAGCATGTTCGGAGATCTCGGCAACCAATTGTGGGCAAACATTGAAATTGCTGTCAAAAATTAAGAAATTCTCTAGGAGTTTATTTCAAAGTTCTATACAGCCAATGTATTTCATTTGAATTTTTTTCGTTCGACTGTTTTTAAGTTATCGTTCATTGAATAACGGAGTTGACGCGCCGTAAGTCTCCCGGCCGTGGGGACAAGCGGCGTTATATGGACGCCGTACGTGAGGGGTTAAATTACACTGCAGTAAAACCTCAGAAAATTAAAAAAAAAATTGACATCTCATTTTGAAGTGTCTTGAAGCCGTATCAATGAAAATATCCGCCAAAAATATCATAAGTAGTTAGATTTTCAAATTTTTACTTCGAAACTCCCGACCATGTACGTGTATAAGGCGAATTTCCAGAAAAACATAAAAACTTTGAGCTTGAATATACATTGAAGATACTTTTTGTGCAGCTGAATAACTGTTCAGAAAAAAATGTCCTATAACATAATCCCTCAATTGACTCGTCGAGCCAATTTATCATTCAATAAATCATGAAAAATCAAAATTCATCATCAACCCATAAACTTCAAACACTTGCAAAGGGATCTCCAAGTTACAATGTAATTTTCGCTAAAACATTTAAGGACAACAAACTGGGCGATATCTGCTTCTCCCTCCGCTACGTCCCAACCGCTGGAAAACTGACAGTCGTAATTCTCGAGGCGAAGAATCTCAAGAAGATGGACGTCGGCGGTCTCTCCGACCCCTACGTCAAAATAGCCCTCATGCAGAATGGAAAGCGATTGAAAAAGAAGAAGACATCCATCAAGAAGTGCACCCTCAACCCTTACTACAACGAATCATTCTCATTCGAGGTTCCCTTCGAGCAGATTCAGGTAGCTCACCCCTCACCCCCTTTCGCCCCTCAATCAGAGAAAAACAGTAGAGTTCTTAAATAAGTCCTATTCGTGCCAAAAAAATCGTTTGTTCGAAGCGTGAGATGAGACTGAAAATTTTTATTGCAAAAATAGATTTAGTCTTTTCAAAAAAAAATTATTCTGTGCGCAAGCAAGAAAAGAAATGTAATTTCTTTCTTGCAAGAAACAAATTTCATCTTGAGATTAAAATTTAAATTTGCTCTTGAGATTTTTTCTATAAGAATGCAAGAAGTTACATTTCTTGCACTGATAGAATGATTTATTTATTCCAAACGAGATTCGTTAACTATTAAGGAATGGTAGAGTTGACTATGACGAAATAAATATTCGTTAATAGTTAACGAATGGTTCACTTGAAAGGTAAAAGTCGAGTCAAACAAGGCTTTTCAAATATGCATCTGTTAACTATTAACGAATGAATATTTGGTGAGACCGAATAGACCCTACGCTTCAACCAAGTCCATTTGTTAACAATAACTAATCCTTTCTATCAGTGTGCTTGCGAACTACTTGTGATTTCTAGTAGTGTTTCTTAGTTATTCGATGCTCCCATACGTATTTTGCTCCCGGCGAATGCTCGTTTTATATGAAACGAGAGATAGTCGTTTGTCGTTTCGGATATTCAATAATCACAGTCAAAAAATTAATTCTCAAAGGAAATAATAAGAATGATATGACAGCACTCTTGTAACTTGAGGACAAAATATTTCTTGATAAACTTCCCGCGATAAAAGACATTTTTATTCTGAAAAGAACACCGTCTTAATCGTCCGCCTCTTGAGCCAAATATTTCGTTGTTTTTGAAAGCAGAACAATTATTCATGTTTGAGAATAATAGCAAACAATTATTTTTTTGGTAATTTTCAAGTAATGATTTCGTTGGCCCAAGCAAGACTTGTTTGAGAACGTATTCGTTTTTTCTCTCAGTGCTCCACGCATGAAAAAATTCAATAGAAAACCTAGCGAATTCGCTAGAAAATTCTATTGGAATTCTATTGGAATCTATAGGATTTCTATTGGAATTCTGTTGAAAAATTGTATTTGGTTTTTGCGCCGATTCTATTGGATGTTTAATAAGCAAAGTTAATAGATTTCGAATTTCTGTTTGAATTTTTCTCTTGAGATATTTTCTATAAAAATACTTGGGCCGCAATTTTCCAATTTTTTTCCACTCGGATTTTGTGTTGCAAAACAAAACAAAATCCAGTGGAAAAAAATGTGTGCCCAATAATTTTAATACAAAATATCTCGAGACAAAATTCGATGAGAAATGCGAAATCTATTGATTTTTTCTTATCGAATATGCAGTAGAATTAGCGCAAAAACCAACTACAATTTTCCAGTAGAATTCCAATAGAAATCCTATAGAAACCCCATAGAATTGCTATAGAATTCCAATAGAATTTTCTAGCGAATTCGCTAGGTTTTCCTCTATGGAAAAATATATAAAAAATATATATAATATACGCCAATTTAATGTATTCTTCGAATATACACAAGATTTATATCTCTCTATATTATAAAAATTCAAATCGACTTCTGGTGAAAGAAATTTGGTACTTAAAATTAAGACTCCAAAAGTAAGAGTCACAAGGGTCTAAATAAGGGTTGCGAGGATCAGAGTAAGGGTCACAAGGATTAGATTAAGGGTCATTCGGTTCAGAATATGGGTCACGAGGGTCAGAATAAGGGTCACAAGGGTTAGATTAAGGGTCACGAGGTTCAGAATATGGGTCACGAGGGTCAGATTAATGGTCACAAGGGTTTGACTAAGGGTCATGAGGATCAGAATATGGGTCACGAGGGTCAGTTTAAGGATCACAAGGGCAGAATAAGGGTCACAAGGGCAGAATAAGGGTCACAAGGGTTAGATTAAGGGTCACAAGTGTTAGATTAAGGGTCACGAGGGTCAGATTAATGGTCACAAGGGTTAGATTAAGGGTCCTTCGGTTCAGAATATGGGTCACGAGGGTCAGATTAAGGATAACAAGGATCAGAATAAGGATCATGGGGGTCACATGCGGATCATATGTGGGTCACATGGGGGTTGGCGAGCGGGGCGAGCAGGGGGCTACGCCCCTACACATAAATCAGGTCAATTCCATACATAAAATACATAATTTTCAGGATATATATTTTTCCGCATCGGTCCTATTGAATTTTTTCATACGCGTCAGTCTCCCCTCAGCCGCGAAACCCCGACTAATGCCCCCGGCTCTCCTTCCAGAAAGTAAATCTCATGGTAACAGTCGTTGATTATGACCGTATTGGGACATCTGAACCAATCGGTAAAGTCATCCTCGGTTACAATGCAAGTGGCACTGAATTGAGACATTGGTCTGACATGCTGGCATCCCCCAGACGTCCGATCGCACAATGGCACACACTCAAGGACCCCGAGGACGGTGATAAGAAGGATTAAGATCACTCCACCCCCTGAGCGAGGTAAATTAACGAACGAATAGAAGGAGTCTAAGTCCCAAAGTCCCCCTCCTTTTATTCTCAAATTAATTCATTAACAAACGTTAAAGATAAAAAAAATAACAGCCGAAATACTTCGAACTACTTTAGACTCTTTATAATTTCCAATGACAAGAGGAGTAAACTGCATTATTGATGAAAAGAATTAACAAATTTTCAAATGACAGAGGAGAAAATACCTAGTGGATATTATCTATCGAATGACTATTCCAATGATTTAACAAAAATGGGAATAACTTACCACCGTGAATGTAGAATTTAACATGCTCTGACGAAGTGTAGTGTCTTGTATATACACATATATCTACTGTACTTCTCTCTGTAGATGAATTTTATTGCGCTGGGAATGGTGATGATTTCACTGCGAAATGACAACACCATTGAAATCAGCGTTTACGTGCATTTTGGTTTGTTCATTTTTCAAAATAACTAGTTTTGAAACGAGAAATGAATGACTCACATTTTCAATCACCTGCATATCCCCCGATTAATCATGTTTCATTTTATATATTTATTATAGTTTGCGTAGATTGAATAATTGAAGTTATTTTATGAATTTAGTGATTCGTTGATTGTAAAAGTTTATTGTTATACTCATGCTAAATATCATTGGTTTTTCATTTCATAATGGAAATGTACTATTTCACGATGTCTTCGTACGCTGAAGTTATAATCATCATTCATAACAATAATGATAATAATGATAAGAGGAGATGGAGAACTGCAGAGGACGAAAATGCCAATGACGTTTTGAGTTATTTATTGTACACACGTCGTTGGTATTTTTAAAAGCCACCATTCGTTATTTTAAAATTGTTTGGTTTGTTCGGGTAGTTAATATATCATTTGTGAGCAGAAGATGGTTTTCGGTAAGTCCGCTGATAGGGTGATTAGAAGGTTCTGGAGTCGTATGAGTGAATTTCGTACTCATGTTGGTGATGAAACATCCAATATGAGAACCTTGGAATTACGATACGCGATTTTCTCTATTTCTATGGTGTAACATCTGAAATTTACCGGAGTGTCGGGGGAATTCAACAACAGGCCTAGGGTATCGGTGTCTCTGCAGATTAATGGGAATTTGGAGGGATTGGATGGACGAAGAAATTTCAGGGAAAATTGTAGCGAATTCACTGCAGATTTACGGGGCGTTTTTTAGTAGTTTAGTTCATGGGGAAAATCTGTAGAATTTCATATTTCTATGCAAGCTTTTCTAGTGATACATTTTCGGTAGGAATTCCGTGACATGAATTTTTCAAGTTTTTTCCACTCATTTTTTCTTTCTCTTTTCATGAATAAAATTGAATAAAAAACTTGGCAAATTTGAGCCGAGAAATTTTCATAGAAAATATCTTAATAGAATAAGTTGTGTAGAAAAATCGAATTCTATGGATTTTTTCTAATGAATTCGATGGGAAATTTTACTGAATTTCTACTCAACTTCTATTGACAATTTTACAGATTTACTGTGCGTTTTTTCAATAGAAACTATTCATGAGAAAAATCACCGAAATTTTATATTTCTATGCAAATTTTTCTAGTGATACATTTTCTGTAGGAATTCCGTGACATGAATTTTTCAAGTTTTTTCCACTCATTTTTTCTTTCTCTTTTCATGAATAAAATTGAATAAAAAACTTGGCAAATTTGAGCCGAGAAATTTTCATAGAAAATATCTTAATAGAATAAGTTGTGTAGAAGAATCGAATTCTATGGATTTTTCCTAATGAATTCGATGGGAAATTTTACTGAATTTTACTCAATTTCTATTGACAATTTTACAGATTTTCTGTGCGTTTTTTCAATAGAAACTATTCATGAGAAAAATCACTAAAATTTTATATTTCTATGCAAATTTTTCTAGTGATACGTTTTCTACCGAAATTCCACGACATGAATTTTCCAATTTTTTTCCACTTAATTTTGTTTTCTCTTTTTATAAAACAAATCGAACAAAAAAACTTGGTAAATAAAAACAAGATAAATCCGGTAAATCTCAATGGAATAAGTTGTATAAAAAAATAGAATTCTGTAGATTTTTCCTATACAATATTTTCCAGCCAAAAATTAACAGAAATTCAATAGAATTTTCTGGCGAATTCTCTAGGTTCTTCTCCGAAATTTTGCCCCACGTGAATAAATACAAGAGCACAAATATATTACACGTGTTTTTACCAATAATCGCAATGTTTCTGATAGTTTCACGTGAACTGGCGTATATAGTACACCTATATAGTACAGCTATCCTGTATTGTACATATTTTATTCCGTTGAAAGAGTATTAAACATGCAAAACACACATTAAAACATTTGATTATTTCTACGGAAAACCCGAGTGGATTTGTCCGTTCACTTTGTCTCATCTGTTATTGTTACTTCATTTCAAGATTACGATTGAATTTATCTTTTCCCTCGATTGACCCATTTGTAAATAATTTAGAGTAATTTATGTACATATACACCAGTGGAAAAATCACCCCCAAAATCCACCTGAACGGCCTTCTCTTCGAAATTATCCCTCATCCCAAATGAAAGAACAAAAATCAAATCGGTGCGAGATTCTGCAGAGAGGAACAAATATATCTAAAGAATAAAATAAAAAATGGACAATATATGTAAAAATGAAGTTTCCCAGTTCACCTTTGGAATCTTTATCATCACTGACATTGATGTAATCAAATGATCGAGACATGTATAATGCGCTGAGAAAAAAACAGAAAAAATTGTGTTTATCTCTATTCCGGAATTAGTAGGTACACTGCACTGATAGAAAACATTATTTTTATTGAGATGTTTCTTTCTTGGAACAAGTATTATACACTCGAACCAATTTCAAATACATAAGAGCTTGCGGTGAATATCAATTATTTCTTCTTGAGATACATTTACTTGAATCAAATAAAACGGTTCTTGGCGTCAAGTCACATGTATTCACCACAAAAATGGAGCAGTTCTATTTTTTTTGACTTAATATTATCTCAAGTTGAGAAATTGTCTACTTTAATGAATTGAGCAAAAATTCGTACCTAGGAGATGATTACATGGAGGAATGAATTGAATGTTGTTTTCTCGAATGAAGCCGATGTTTAAATTGAGCTTTCCGTACATCACATTGAACGTAATTTGTGATATCCAAGTTTGTGTTGAATTGCCGTAATCTGCGATTCTGTTATTGTGAACTAATGCGATTTTTTTTAGTCAAGAAATATAAACTTCTTTCAACTCAACGACATCTTACTACAATCTCAAAGCTTTTTCCGCGTAAAAATATTGATCCTGATTCGACGTACGAAATGCTCACTTCAATTATAATTTACTTCGAACAACGTATGATCGTATTGATTGAGATAACAACGTATTTAGTCATGAGAATAATTTTGATTTTTGAGTAAACCAACGAATTTCTGGAGTCAGCCAACTTTTGGCTAGAAAGAAATCAAATACTCTTATTATTGCGATAAATGAAGGAACTTCAATTCTAGAGGAGTTCGATTTCTCCCAATCAAATGCATCTCAAGAAGAGATGACTGATATTCACTATGAAATCATGTTTATTTGAAAATTAACAGCCAAATGATAGTTGGTGCAATGGAAATTCTCTTGATAAAATTAATTTTTTTCTGTCAGTGTGTTGGAAATTTCTTGAATTTTCAGTCACAGCGTTATCTGAATTTTCGATGTGCTGAGGTTGAAATTTCTCATTCATCTTGAAAATTCAAGAAAATTGGGTTTTTCATGTTAAACAATCATCGATTTTTCAACGAAAGCTTGAATTTCAAAATTCATCGTGAAAATTGAACATCAAATACAAATCAATTTTCAATAGCTTGAGAATTCCGAAAAGTTATTGCCTGAATTTTCAAAATTTTCAAGGTTTTTCCCTGAAAATTGAGAATTACTTAAATATTCACAAAATTAACTGATTCGTCAATGAAGAACTATACAGTGTGCCCCAAAATTGCTCCGTCATATCGTGAGGGTAGCTCGGGGGTATTATTTGGAGACGAAAACTCTAATGAAACTTTCGTCTCCGGCGCTTCGTTAAAGAGTTATTCGTCAACAAAGCAAAAATCCACCGCAAATGACCCTCTGTTTGAAAATTCATATCTCCTCTCTCACTTCGGCTGGAGGAATGAAAATGATGGCAATCGATTGGGCATTTAATGCACAATGATCTGAAAAAAAATTGTTCTGCTATCATCATCCCGGGTGAGAAAACCCGGAATGAATTTCAACGCGGCGTCAGAGCCATTTGGTTCCTAAACGCAATGAAACCCTAAAAATCAGAGTCAACGTAAAAAATTCATGTCTCCACTCTCATTCAATATCAAGAAATGAAATTGATTGGAATCGATTGGACATTCAATGCCATCATCCCTCCGCCTTGAATGGGAAAGGGGGTATGATCTCTCTATCGGGGGATAGCGTTTGACCGGCTGTCCTTTTGCCTTGATAACTTATAAACAAAGCGTCGGAGACAAAAATTTCATTAGACTCTTCATCTCCAGATAACCCCCGAGCTATCTTCACGATATGTCGGACCCGTTGTGGAACACCCTGTACAGAAATGTCATGTAACTTTGTCGTTGTTAAAAATTTCAAGAGTAATTTTCCAACAGTGTATTGAAAAAAGCCACTAAAATCTGCAATCAACGCTCCAATACCTTCAGACTAGACTTAAGCCCCCAGAGTTATCCCAAATAAATGAATAATAAAATTACTCGATTAATTGTCGTTGGCTCATCTTTTTATGAAAAATGATGTACGATTTGTAAGATTGATGGCCCCTCAGTGTGAGCACTGACAAATGCTCACACTCATGGATCAGTATTTCCGATAAACATAGCAATAAAACAATTTTCTGTCGGTATCTAGCAGAATTAAGGAACACAGTTACGTAGATAATTTAATCGCCAGTGTTTATTATTTGGTTCAATCGTTTTGTTGTCAGGACCAAGTATTACTGTAACAATGAATCATCTCGTAACGCTCCATGGGCCATTGTTTTGCACTGATGCATCGATTCACTGAGGGAATACATAAGCAATTAAATATCATTAAACTGTTACGGAGAAATTGAGTGAGGACAGTAAATTCGAGCGAGTTGAACGATTTTCTTTGTGTCTATTCCCCTTATTCCACTCCCCTGCGATTGTATTCTTTCAATCCAATTAATTTGCTTCTCACCGCACGTTTTCTTTAAACATTCGAGACATTACGCAATCAATATTATGATTTAACTGATTTTGAAGCCTCTGTGAGGCACGTCCAGCTGAAAAAAAAACGAGAGTACCTCAGATTGTATAATAAACAAATATTATATAACACTATGATGTGTATATAAAATTATATAATTGTCAGGTACGTGAGGAGATGTATCGAAATGTGAAAGATATTGCAAGAGTGAATTCAATCAATTGAGTGTATCTGCACGCATGTACCTATGACACTAATGTATCTAGAGTGCCTTTGATTATTTCGAAGAATTATTGGTTTCGAAAGGCAACAAATCGTCGCATTCATCGCAATTGCTGTCCTCCTGGTGTCTAGTTGAGGTGGAGTATCTGATTAATAGAGTCGAGGTGAGAATTAGCGCATACAGGGGTGATTATCGCCTCTTAAACGTCATTGTAGGTCTTTGGTTTTATATATCGGTTTTAGTAGGGACATTATCATATTCACAAAATACTGATCAAATCTTAATCATTAGGCACGAGCGGTAACCGTGTGTCGTTGATCGACTGAAAACTTATATTTGGGAGTCATACATTGTGTATAATAGATATTTATCTGTGAAGGAGAGTGAAGAATATTATGGTATAATAGGAAAATGTTATGGTAGGCTGGAACACGTGTAACAATTGTGGATTTATGTTTTTGGTTTTGGGAGATGTTTCTGAATTTACAGATTAAAGATGATACTTTGTTTTGAGAATTTAAATGTGGGGGAGTGATTTTTAAAGGTCTTGAGACCTGAAGTTTGAGACTTGAAAGTCGTAAGTTGAAAGTTTCGAAAGTTGCAATTTAACATGCACGAAAAAATTTGAAAAAATCTAGCAAATTCGTTGGAAAATTTTATTGGATTCTATTGGAATGTTCAATAGAACATATTCAGTAGACAAAGTCAGTAAAATTCGATTTTTCTATATAACTTATTCTCTTCGGGTATTTTCTATAAAATTTCCTCGGCTCAAGTTTTCCAAGTTTTTTTCATTCTATTTTTCTTTTCTTCTCGTCAAGAAAATCGAACAAAAAAAACTTGGAAAATTTAAACCGAAGAAATTCTATAGAAAATATCTCAATAGAATAAATTACACAGAAAAATCAAATTCTATTGACTTTTTCTATAAAATGTTGTCTATTGACCATTTCAATAGAATCTGCCAAAAGCGAATAAATAAAATTCTGTAGAAATTCAATAGAAATCCAATTGTCTAGCGAATTCGCTAGGTTTTTCTATTAAATTTGTTCGTGTGTCCACTTAAGCCCTTCCAAAGTCTCAATTGGAGATCATAAGCCTCAAAATAAAGCTTGTTATTTTGGGTAAAAGAGCTACAACAAAACATGAAAAAGACAGAATTGAAATTTAACCATCTGAATTAAATTCAGAAATATCAAACGAAAACCGAACCCAATTCCAACTAATTTATCTTTTTTGCTGGTTTATATTGATCTCAATGTTTTATTTCCCCAAAATTTATTGAATGTATTGAATTTATTGAATTTATTCAATGTAATATCTCCAGTATTCCTCCACCATCGTAGTGACCGATTACTCGAGTGTACAAAAACATTGCAAATTGTTATTGGAAAATGCAGTGACTAAACGAAATAAAAATCCCATCATTGAGAAAAATATTGAACGAATAGCCTAGTTATTGTTCATCCGGGCACTAATCCAATTCGATCATATTCTAATGCACATTAAAGGATAATTCAACGTAACCACCATTGAGTAATACTAAGATACGTGTGAAGACAGTGCCTTACTGCATTCTCTAATGACAATCAGTAATGTACGTGAAATATGAGAGATTCGATGTTTGAAATTGTGGAAAATTTCGTCGTTAAACCAACATCTTCACGATTTTTCCCTCGAGTTTATCATCACCATCAATCAATTCATTGATTTCAAGAAGGAAGAATAATTGTAATAATCAAAGAAATCCAGAGATCATGTAAATAAGATTGATTGAATGATTGAACCAAGAAAAATTTCAATGTTTGAAAAATCACTCGTTTTGTTTGATCTGCAAATTCGTAATATACGGTGATTTTTTTGCTGAGTACTGATAGTTTTCACCGAAGAATGGAGAAGACGAATACACAGTAGGGATGAATAGTGTTATCTCAACAGTAGCGGTATTGATTGTAAAGAATAAAAAAAAATGATGCAGATGTTTGTCCCCAGCTGCGTTATCCTCGGAACAAACCCCAAGCTGATACTTGCAAGGAGACGATGATTTTTCAGGAAATAATGTCATCACGATCGCAACAATTCTGAAATTCTGAAATTAATCGAAGAATCTGAACAACTGCTTGCGAAAGAGGAGATTCCGATGCACGAATTTGAAGACAACTTGATCTTTTTCTCGGTATGCACTATTTAAATTAAATGAAACGATGGAAGAGAAATAAATTATATGAATTAAGCGGTAAAAATGAGTAAAAATGACCCCACGCCTCCAGCTTGCGAACATAAATAAACTTATATATAAATAAATAAAATGAGAATGTATCACGTAATTGTATCATTCCATTTAATAATTATGATAATAAGAACATTAGTGCGACAATGTACTGTACATCATAGAAGTTATTATTATATCGTAATTATGTAATAAATATTGTTGTTAACATAAAATTATCGTTTTTGTCTTTTATTCTGGAATTTTTTTTACGGAAAATTGCACTTGTCATCATCACATATCAATTGAATAATCAAAACTCATTTCTATTTCCCCTTCTCCCAGCGTCAATCATCGGACGTCGATCGAATCATTACAATTAATACGAGTACGAAAGACTTTTCAAAGGAAAATCCCATCAAGAGATATTTTGTCTGGAAAATTTTCTCGATTTACTATTTAATTTCTTGACTTCCTCATCACATCATTGAGGCAAAAATCAATAATCGGAGGATTCTATTCATTTTTCAAGTTGATGATGCTCTTTTAGTCTTCAAAGGTCAGTAATTCTCGGAATAAATTTGAATAGTTCTATCAGTGTCAAATATGGGAGTCAAATAAAAGAAAAATTGTGATTAGTGTCGAGTGTCAAAATATTTACGGTAGTTCATCGGCAAGTTCCGAGGTTGGGGAGCGGATGTAACGGTTGCGAATTCGCTGGTTTTGCTCGGGGTAGGCGGTCTCCATGAAATCAATCAGACGTCGGATGATCCTCGCTTGAGATCTTGTGCAGCGGCGACAATTGTTGTTCAGGGCTTCGGGTAATACGTCTGAAAAACAGAATAAATAATTTTCAGAAGTTTCAATGCGATTTCAATACAATTTCATTATATCTAAGGGAGAATATGGAGCTAAGTGAAACCCTGTGATGAACTTTAATTCTTGATATCTTTGTTTACAAACGGAGATTTTGGGATTTTGGCGCGATAGGAAACATTCCTCTTTGCCCTACCTTCCTATAGGAATTTTCAAACATGCTTGGAGCCTTGAAGAGAAAAATAGACGCGTTACACTCGGAAAAATCATTTTGACATTTCAAAGGTCTTAAATTGAGACTTGAAAGTCTCAATCTTAGCTTTTGGAAAGTCTTAATTTTTTTTTAAATTTCTTAAAGTGGGCAAATCTACAAGATTTATTTTCACTGTCGGTAATGTTCGATTAACTCGGTCTAAATACTTTCACTTCTTACAATCATTGATTTTAAATATTTAGTTTACTATTCGTAATGAATTTGTGTAGTATTGTAAAATTTTTGGATGTGCGGTTTTCAATAAGGGGATGATTGAATTCGTAAGTGGAACTTTACATTTCATCAACCCTTCGGCGAAGGATTCATGAAATAATTTAAAAAATGCAATTTTGAAAATTATGGGAATTTTTTATAAACAATTTATAAACAATCAATTTCCCATCATAAAAATCATTTGTTCGGAATCGTAACAGATTTAACCAGAAATCGATTTCATACCTGAAAAATTGAGGTTTCCGAAAGTTTAAACAATTTTAATTATTTATTTATAAACAACGAATATTCAAAAAAATCCCAAGTCTGTGCAAAATTAATTTAAATGATGCTGAATATTTATAATTTTTTTTAAAATTGAAACTTTCGAAATTTCAAGTTGAATTTCCGCGCTCAATTTATAATTTTCCAAAGTCTCAATGAAAATCGTTTTAATTTTTTTAATTTCACGTAAATTACAATTCGTTTATTCAAAGAATTCATAGAATTTATTTCGTTCAATCTCTTTTTCCCTTGCATACTCGTTTTTCTCTCTTGGTTTCTGAAGTAAAGAGACTCTTTGATGTATTCACGAAAAAACTACTCACTTTTAATCGAGTTTCCAATGAGATCGCAGGGCCCCTCGTCCAACATACAATTGATTTCAAAATTAACGAATTCTGGATTCTTCAGCAACGCTTCAACGTCCTGAGCCTCGATACCAACCACAAGGGAGAGCATCCCAACGAGGAACAATGCCATGCGAGCCTTCATTTTTCTCCACAAACAGTTTCTAATTCGCCAGCAAAAATCCCGATTGTGCAAAATTATCGTCAGTTATCACTTGAATTCACGGAGACTCGCTGGTCGACTCGTCGATACTGATGTCTTCGAATTTTCACGGGGTCTTTATATAACCAGGAGCTAATCGTCTCGTTATTATCCTCGTCCTTGAGGTAACTACCCCGATGAGTGCTTAGACGACGGATTTAAGAGAAATATAAACATTGGATTAATCGTCCAAGTGTCTACTACAAAATTTCAATTTTATCGAAATTCCTACAGAATTAGGGAACAGACCCAGAGAAAAGAGGCATTTCAATCAAATAAAACTCTTTATTTGAAATTCGTCTGATCATTTCAAGAATAATTTTGTCGGAAATTAAAAATTCATTTATTTATTGACGTGAAAATTTTCTAATTATGACGAATAAATGATTTCTGCGGAGCCCTTTCGTGAATTTCTTATGAATAAATTCATGTTTTATTCAATGGATCAGTTATTTCACATATAAATTCAACTGATCGAATACCAGATGGGTTTTATTAAAACCTAGCGAATTCGCTAGACAATTTTATTGGATTTATTGAACTTTCTGTTAGTTTTTGGCAGATTTTATTTCCTTTTTCTATTGCACATTTTCTATTCAACATTTCAATAGAATCAGTCAAAAACTAATAGAAAGTTCAATAGAAATCCAGCAGAATTTTCCAACGAATTCGCTAGGTTTTTCTATTAAATTTTCTCGCGCGTGTTTATGCTTTATCTATTGGTGAAGAAGTAATGATATGAAAATTGAATAAACAATCACAATAATTACATAATTTCAGTCATTGAGTATATCTCTTAAAAATATTTATTACTCTGAATTTTCAATTTCATCGAAATTCCTACAGAATTATGGAACAGACTCAGAGAAAAAGAGGCATTTCAATAAAATAAAACTCTTTATTTGAAATTAGTCTGTGATTTCAAAAATACTTCTGTCGGAAATTAAAAATTCATTAATTTATTGCTATAAAAATGCGGAATGAATAATTCTTGCATTTCGAATAATTTATTTATTGGGACAAAGTGAACAATTCACGCGGAAAAGTTTCAATGATTGTTATGAATAAATTCACGTCTCACTCAATCGATCATTTATTCCGTAAATAAATTCACCTGATCGCACACCAGACGATTGTCCTCCGCTTTCATTCTAAATATCCCATCATTTATGCTTCACATATCAGTTCAGAACCAATCACATCCAAATTATATAAAAAATTCTAATAATTCCGCAATTTTATTCATTGAACATTCATCGCACATAGGGCGCGTTTCGCAATCGAGGTATTCGCAGTACACGGAGAGAAATTTTCTAGGAAAATTCTAGTACGAGTGCTGGAAAAAATTACAATCCACCGGCTGTGAAAAATTTTAGTGCTCTTAAGGTAAAATTTCTTGGTATTTCTGGTAAAATTTCTGGGGATGTCTGTGAAATTTTCACATAAATACGGAGAAAAATTAACGTTTGCCCCAATAAAAGTTCTAGTGCCGGCACTGGAATTTTTTCGTGGTCGTCACTTTGCGCCTCTTTTCCCGTGCTAGCACTGGAATTTTTCCAATTTTGCTTGACTGCACCTACGGTAGGGCAAGCTACCTAGTAGATGGACACTGCCCTATAGATGGACGAGCTACTTTTGGATAGGAAATTACGCAAAAAAATACTGAAATGTGAATTGTTGCTTTGAATTTTCACCAACTGTTGTGATTCTTAACCCCCGAGTGACGATTTTTTTTCGATCAATTTTTTTTTCAATTGCTAAAAAACAAATGTCCACCTACTGGGCGGTTTTCTTAGGCGTCCATCTACTGGGCAGTTTACCCTAGTTGATTCCGAAACGCAGTCATAAAACCCGCACGCGCCGGGCGCGATTTCCCGCCTAAAATGTCCGCGCAACTGCCGTAGGTCAGTGTCAGTGTCCAAACAATCGTCTCAGTGAAGCAAGTGTTAGTGCATTCAGCATTAAAAACCCGTGAAAAAGCCTCCAATAATCAAAATTTTCATTCTAAATATCTTCAAGACCTGACGATGTTCGTGAAGAGAAGCAGAATATCACTGAGAACCTGAATACAGCCCTTCAGAAGGTATTTACTGTGCATTCCCGGGAATATAACCTCACCAGACATGTCAATATCCCCAAGACATCCACATTTTCACTGATTTCCGCTCCAAAAACTGAGTAATCACCAATCATTATCGATTATAAACACATCTGGGGGCCAAATAGCCTCGATGTCAATCAAAATATAATAAATCTGTTGCTCATTCTTTGGTTGCGATTCATGCAAAAGTGACTGAATGGATTTCAATGGTATTTTTACTATCAGGAGAGGGTGGGGTAAAATGGACACTATACATTTTTTAATTATTCATAACTCAGAAACAAATTTATCAATTGAGCTCAGTGTAGGCTCGTCACAAAGAGCAAGAATTGTTCTTTGGATTGACGGAAAAATTATTAAATTTCATCAACATTTCAACCCCTCATTAACATTTGAAAAAAAGTCAAAAGTGTCCGTTTTACCCCAACCTTCCCTACACGTATGAAAACATCGTATAGAAATTTTCTATACGGATTGCGTATAGAAATTCTATAGGATTTCCGTCTATGATATTCGGATATTTCTGTACGAATATCTTCTATACAAATTATTTCTGTACATAAATTTTTACATAAATTCAATTCTTTTACATAAATTCATTTCCGGGTTTTTTAAACAATTTGAAGAAATTCTCCAGTTTTCGAAGAAAAATGAGAATATTTTTAGTTCTGCAGACAATTACAGAAAATTCTTTGATTTCATAGAGAATTCGCATGAACTCTTAAATTTTCTAAATAACTTACACATTTTCTAGAAAATTCGAAAGAATTATCAGGTGTCTTTAAATATTTTTTTTGTTCCAACTAAGCAATTTAATCTCCCTAGAAGTCAAAAAAATTTGAGAGTTTTCAAAGAAATTGAGAAAATTCCCGGACCTCTCAAGAAACGTCAAAAACACGAGGTATTTCTTTTAATTCCAGAAATTCCCAAAAATTTGGCATTCAATTTTCCTTATTCAGCCCTTGCGAAGCCTCAATCTCAAGCCGCAACTCAATCAAAAAATGGAGGTTGACGATGCCACCAGAGTCCCTGAAGCCCTCTCCACCCCCTCGCCCAGCAGTTCCCCCCGGAAATGCAACCTCTCCTTCTCCTTCAACTTCGACGTCGACGGCATCGACAGCGAGAGCACAACGGACTCCGAGACCCCCGGTCTCCAGATCGACGTCTCCGAGGTAATAAATTACCAGAAGACCCGAAAGCGAAAGTACATAGAGATCGAGGAGACCTCAGCAATCGACGAGATGGAGGAGGAAATCGAGAGACAGTTGGATGCCAAAGCAGCAAAAACCAATTTGACAGCGACAAACGTGAAGAACATCCTCAAGCACGTGATCACGAACGAGCACGTCCTGGCGATGGTGCAGAACAGTGTCCACAATACCGAGGAGGGTGCGATATTCGAGCCCAAGTTGACTCGAGCCAAGGCGAAGGAGCTGGCGATGGCGCAGCCCAACATCCCCTGGCCGATGACGCCAGTGAAGAAGCCAAGGTCTTCCGAGGTTCAGGCTCTGATCAGCGAGGATTTCCACGAGGATTCGTCCGACGAGGAGTACAACCCTGACCACGACCAGCAGAGTGAGGACGAGGGGGATCACCTGACGAACAGCGACGTCGATTCGTCTCCAGCAACTCCAGTCACTCAAGTCGAGAGTCAAATTCCTCCTGATGGATCAACTGGTGATCAATTGCCTCGTGTTGACGTGCACTACGACGAGGAGGGGGTCTTCAAGATCCCCTCGATCCCCCACGTGCCCACCGAGGAGGAGAGCATCGGCCAGAGGACGAGGTCCAAGTTGTCTCTGAGTGAAACACCCCTGGAGCACATCGAACAGGCGTTCATTCCCCCTGACATCACCACTGACATGTACGATTGGGATTATGATATGGATGAGGAGTGGAACAAGTTCTTGACGGAGTTCACTCAGCCGCTGCAGCCCAATGGGGAGGACGACCCCGAGGCTGATCCTGAGTACAATATTCTCGAGGACAGGGAGAGCGAGATGCTGGACAAGGAGGAGATCAGGGATGACAAGGCGGTGAAGGTCTCCAGGAAGGAGCTGAAGGACCTTGTGGCTGAGCTGTTTGAATTTGAGGACATGTTCGCCAAGGGGGAGATTCAGGAGGGACAGGAGGGCGGCAGGAAGAGGAAGAGCTTGGAGGCCTCCGTGGGGTCTGTGCATAATAATTCAACGGTGAGCTTTATTTGTACTTCATTCTAGTTCTTTTCGCATTTTTTTGCTTCTGAGTGGAAGGATTGCACTTGTCGAATCTGAAGTTTTAAATTGTGGCAGGATGACTGATTTTGGCCTCAGGAGTTTGAATTTGGTATTTTTATTTGTGGGTGTGACCGATCGTTTTAAGGCGATCCTGCTTAAATGAATAGGTGAAACGCATTGGGTCAGCTATTTCGGCAAGCTTGAGCTGGACTTGGGAATATTTCAAGCTTGTTAGCATTCAAATTTTTCATCTTTTTTGATCGTAAGGATATTTAAGTACTTTGGCTTTTTTTTCGAATAGTGAAAGGCTATTCTATTTTTGTAGTCGAAAATCAGAGCTTTCATTCGAGCCCCATTTGAAGATCTAAATTGCAAATTCGATATTGAACCGTTAGAGAACATTTTAAAAATCTGAAAAAATTAGAAAGTTTACTTTGAAAATTTTGAGCATTTTTTATAGATAATTTATAAACAATCAATTTTCAACCATAAAAATCATTTGTTCGGAATCGTAACAAATTTATTCATATTCTGAATTTCACCAGAAATCGATTTACCGCCTAAAAAAATTATTTCCGAAAGTTTAAACAATTTCAATTATTTATTTGGAAGCAACGAATGTTTGAAAAAATAATAATTCTGTGCAAAATGTAATTTGAATGACGCTGAAAATTCATGATTTTTTCAAAATAAAAAAAAATTTCAACTTTGGGACAATGGTGACTGCCAACATTGGGGCAGTGTTGAATTCAGTGAATTATTTCAGTAGCGAAGTGGTGAAACGGTTTAAGTCGATTTTGATTATTGACCAGTTTTTAGTGAATATCTCGGAATCTAAGGGAAATAGCTAAATTTTTGTTAAGACCTTTTTTGTAGCACTCAATTTGCTGTAGAAAAAAGGTTATTACAAAAATGTCATTATCTCCTTTAGATTCGGAGATATTCTTCAAAAACTCAACTAAGAGATGAGTCGACTTAAACCGTTTTACCACTTCGCTATTGATTTAATTCAATTTAAAATTCGCAAATCGCTAATTTATTATCAAAAATATGTTTACTATGTTGTGACAAAAGCAGTTTCCCACTTGTTTTTATTTTTCTTCATGATCGACACCTGAAGAAACGATGGATTTTATCGAAATAAAACTTTTGACTAGAATTTTTTTCATTTCCCCAACTTGTTGGAAATTGATAAACTTATATGTGGACGTCCGCATGAAAAGGGACCACTTTGTCGATTCTATTTTCCGAGATATTCACGTTTTTCTCTTGCCATCTCCCATTTAAACCCATGTTAAATTATTTTTTCGATCGTCTATAGCGTCGTCACTCTTTATGCTATCAAGTTCATTTTTGGCTCGAAATTTGCAGAATCAGATCAAGATTATCGGCATATAGATAACTCCAATAGTGCCAAAGTGGTCCCTTTTCATGCGGACGTCCACATATATTTATTTCAATGACAATGTTTCAATTGTAAAGAATAAATAATTTACCCCTTCACTCAAATAAACCATTCATCTGACCGTTAAATGGAATCTAAACAAAATATAATTGTGTTGTTTCATAGGATAATGGTCTGACTTTTCAGGATAATCCAATGGTGAATCTTCTACCAGCACTAGCAGAGCCAGAGTTACCAAAGATCGTGAGCTTCGAGCACAGTAATCTCATAGCCATTCAGTTCCAGCAGCACGTACAATTGATGGTACAACACTTTGTGATGACTTATCAACATCCAGAGCTCCATTCACAGTCAATAACGTGCAAGGATAACTTAAATAGTATAAAGTATGTGCCTCAATACACCATTGAACACTTCCCCTCCCTCAGATTTAAAGACATTCACAAAAACTTAACAAAATTAAATCGACTGATTTCAATTTTTTAATTTCATTTCAATTCATTCATGAATAAACATTGTTTCGATCAACAGTTTTCTTCGCACTGGAGATCATTCAGCATTCAATGTCTTGAATCTCCCTGATGCTCTAGTCCTGGCCAACGATTGGGAGGAGAAATTCAAGGATGAGAAATTTCGAGCTGAATACAGTGACATGCAGGCGAATGAAATTAAAGTGGCTCACATGAAAGCGTCGAAAAAGCTGGGTTACACTCCGAAATTTCATCCCGAGATGATTAAACTGTTCATGGAGAGTCGAGCGCTCATGTACCCAGAGTTATTACCTCATGTGCCTATGAAGAATCCCCTGAGAAAGGGTATCAAGGCTCCATATTCAAGATCAGAGGAGTACCTGCTAGCCCTGGGGTTGGAGCAGTTCATTCCCTTTCACGAAGGACGAGAACGTAAATTCTCGTTCAAGAAGATGATCCTCATGGATGCAGCAAAGTCTATCTCTGAGTTTTTGATGCCTGCTAGGAGCCCCAAGGCTTTGTATGGGCATGTGGAGCTTCTGCGAGCTGCTGCTGACGACAATCCGGTCGGTTATTATTTTAAGAATGGGTATGTCCCAAGTAGGATTCATTGCATTGCGTTGGATAATACTGCGAGGGCACCGAAGGAACAACCCAAGGCTTCACTGCCTGTTGTGTGGCAGGAGATTTCTAGTGAGGTAAGTTGATCATTTTATGTAAATTAATGATTCATATTTTTCTTAAAGTTCTTTGGAGTTTTTTTATTTTTATTATATTTAACAACAAAATTTAATTTGATGATAAATTATGATTTTTTCAAACTTTATTTTAAGCTTGAGATTGAATGAGTCATCCTATGAGTGATTCTAGAGGAAAATATCAGAATTCATTTTTTGTTAGTTATAAAGAAAAATTAATAATTTGCTGAAAATTAAATTAATTTATCACTTTATATTTTTTGAAAGGTTTTCTGAAATTGCTTTACTAAAATCATTTGTTCATGAGATGAACCTCAGGAGTAAAGAATGTATTGATTGAAAATTTTATTAGAATTCTTGAACTTTTACTACAAAGTGGAATTTAGTGATAAATTATCATTCTTTTATTCATTTCTTCATTTCAAGCTTTAAATGAAATGAGAGCCATCCAAATCGTATTTGACAAGTTTTTATGTCAACAATGCATCATTCTAGAGGAAAATACCATTTCTCTTAGCTGTAAAGAAAAATTCATAATTTTCTAAAATTAATAATTAATATTTTTCTCAAAGCTCTTGTGAATTTCTTCAAACTAAAATCATTTGTTCCCAAGAAGACTCCCCAATTACGAACAATATTATTGCACTTTTCATAATAATTCCTGAGTTCTTACTCTTCCTCCAATATCTCCAATAGTTCATCATTAAAAAAATGCAATGTAACCATATTTTTTCTATTTTTAAACTCTTTTTCAAGCTGCAAATCAAATGAGATTCATTCAAATCGTCTCTTTAGTTCAAAATAAAAACCTTCAACATTCGTTTTCCCCAATAGACACCTCTCTGCAGCCATAATACGGTCATCCAAATAATTCCAACAACTCAAATACGAAAATTCTAATGAATAAAAATCTCTTTTCATCCAAAATTGCCGACGTTTCCAATATGCATTCTTCCTCCGGGCAGTTTATTCCATCTGTATCTTTACAAAAAGAAAAGAAAAAAGAAACCAGAACAGACCGATTAACATTAATATTGCAAAAATAATTTCCCCATCCACTACGTTCCCCGCTAACTGAAGCTGTCTCTTCCATTCCAGGAGAATTTAGCCGCCTCCACCACGACGTGTTCAACCCCCCTCATCCGTTCTCTCTCCGAGTCCACCGACAACATAGTAATCGACGCGAGTTTCCTCTCCCCCCTAATAAACATGCTCCCCAACATGCCGAACCTGGACCAGACCCCCCCAAAGAGGAACTCCAACCCCCTCGAGGAGGACTCCGCCCCCCAGGAGCACCCCCTGCAGCCCCCACAGCTGCGTCAGACAACCCCTCGCCTGGCAAAAATCCGAAGTGCCCAAAACATGAAGCTAATGACCCAGGTATCAGGCCCCAAGAGTTCCCCCAGCCCCTCCCCAAAATCCCGCTCCAAAGACGAGTCCCCAAAGACCCCCGAAGTCTCCGAGTCATCGCGAGGTGACAACGAGGACGAGATTGCCGAGCTGATGCTGGCCAGCACAACAATTCGAAAGGACTCCGTGAACCGAAAGAAGGCGAAAGAAGCCAGAGAACTCGAGAACATAAAAAGACTGATGGAGGCTGAGACTGACCTGGGGCACGAGGAGCGCGTCACCAAGTTCGCAGCCTCGTGCATTCAGAAGGTCCACGTTACCCTGGAGGCGTCCAACCCAGAGCTCCTGAGGACAATAGTAAAACTCTTCACAGACTACAGCGAGAAAATAGAAGGGGCTAAGCAGAGGCCTCAAGACCTCCAGGACAAAGTGGCTGTGGACTTCTACAGAGGAGTCTGCAACGCCCTGAAGGACTACCCAGAGCTCGCCTCGGACTTCGTGTCGTTCCTGAAGCCCCACCAGGCGGTTATAGTGGACCAGTTCAAGGAGCACACAATGTCCAAGAAGATGGCTGAGTTCATGAACGTAGCGCAGGTTTATTTTGCCAAGCAGCCGGCCAGGATGACTCGTTTGATGCAGGCAATCACTCAACTGGCTGCCGAGCCATCTCCCAGCCTGGAGGGGGTGCACGCTGTCATGGATCCTGTGTTGAAGGGCCACTCCCTCCCCATGGACATGTTCCTGCAGTGCATCCCCAGTGGCAGGCCCCCTGAGAGCCTCTTTCTGCCGCATCTCTTCGAGAATCTCACGTGTCCGGTGGGGCCTTACGACAAGAATAAAGTTTACAGTGAGGACTCTCCGGAGCTGTACGAGAATGTCGAATTGTCAACTCCACCGAGTCAGGACGATTATGGTGGGGAGAACTGCAGGTGCATTTGCCATGAGAATAATAATTCTCCATCGAAGACGAACAGCTCTGAGCACTGCATCTCGTGTGGGGTGAGGTACCTCAATGGGAGGATTTATCTGCAGACTTCGGAGGGGCTGAGACCGGCAAAGGTGACTTTCCCAGGGGATGAGGAGGAGAAGCTGGAGAATATCGCGAGGGTTTCGCTGAAGACTAGTGAGAGGTGCTCGCCTGCGGGCTCCACTGGGAGGCGGAGGAAGTCGTCGAAGAATGAAGCTGGGCCTGATGAGGTGTCCCAGAAGTTTTCTCTGAAGGGTTCGCCGGTCAAAGAGGGCGAGGAGGGGAAGACGAGGCGTGGGGGGAAGTCCCCTCCGAAGTATGTGGATCAGAGGAGGATGTCGAAGTCCTCGGACACTGGGGGTAGCTCGGTGTTGGGGCAGTCCAGTGATAGTTCTCCGATCAAGAGCAAGAGGGAGAAGAGGGCTGAGAGGAGAGAAGCCAAGTCTGATTCGAAAAATTGTAATTTGGAGTTTAATAAGGGTGTTGAGGGGCGGTTTGGGAGCTCGAATGATCAGGATGAGACGACCAGCAAGGTTGAGGCTACGGAGGTGAGTGAGGAGTCCAGTAAGGTTGATAATAGTGAGGACGAGGTAAATGTGAGTGAGCAGATGGAGGTGGAGAATAGTAAGTCTGACAGCGACGTAACGGTTGAGCCGGAGGATGTTGATAGACCGTGGTCCAGGCACGAGGATGCTGTGCTCCTGCAGCATGTGCAGAGGGATTATTCGGAGAGGACTTTTGAGGTGGTCAGTGAGGTTCTCGAGGGAAGGACGGTGCAACAAGTGAAGAGACGATGTGAAATTTTACTTTCTTTGTTGGAGAAGATAGTTTAGTTGGGGGTTCACAAATTGTATGTAATTGAGTTTATTGGAATTGATTAAATTAATGAATAAGAGTTAATTATATTCATCACTGACTGATTTATTGCTCGTTATTTTGTTATTCATTATCAGTTATTCATTCTTGATGATAATTCTGATTAGATAATGAAGAAACTGAATGAAATTTACGAATTATTGATAATTATAATAATTATAAAATTAAATAACAATAATAATAATATTATATTATTATAATTATAATAATATAATATTATTATTATTATTGTAATTTAATTTTATAATTATAATAATTATAATAATTAATTTTGGTTAATGTTGCCGAAAATCGGTCAAATTTATTATTCATTTATTTATTTTTTCCATAAACTTTTCATCATTTTTTACATTTATTCATCATTTATTTTTGAAAAATCCTTTTCAAACTGGAAAATTTGAAGTAGTTAACGATTTTATCGTTCTGCGCTGTTGTCCCTTGCGTGGGTGACCAATGGGTAATGCACACGTGACACCCCATGCATCACTTGACAGCTGACCATCCAACGGGGCCAAATGTGAGGTTGTGGATTGCCACAAACGTTCCATCATCGAGAAATCTCGTGTTCTAAACTGATCACAATAATGCAAAGAGTAACCACTCACGACAACAGTTCCGAGAGACGTGTTTGGTTAAAATGTCACCAAGCAGTGCTTCCGAGTGCTACACATTATATAAGAGAACGTATATGAAGAATGAGGACGCTCCACAGACTGCTCCAGCGCTATCGAAATTTGGTGTTCTTGGGGTCTTCGTGTCGGGGGTCGTTGTAGCTGTCATTGCCACTGCACTATCTGCGTATTTACAGTACAACAAGGATGATTTTCCAGGTAATTGTCAGGGGGGAAAGTAATTCTTCCTATTTTTCATTCTTTTGTTTACGAATGGAAACTTTGTAGTCAGTCAAATTTAAGTGTCAACTTTTTGTGTTAATTTTGTGAGTAAATATGTGTAAAATCAATTAGGAGAGGCTGGGGTAAAACGGACACTTTTGACTTTTTCTAAAATATTAATAAGGGGTTGAAATGTTGATAAAATTTAATATTTTTTTTTCTCAATACAAAGAACAATTCTTTTCCTTTGTGACGAGCCTAAACTGAGCTTAATTGGTCAATTTGTTTCTGAGTTATGAATAATAATAGTAAAGTTTAAAGTGTCCGTTTTACCCTACCCTCCCCTAATATTCTCTTCATCCATTTCCCATTTTTTTCGTTTGTGTTAATTCAACCAAGCGGAGTTTAATTGTATCGGGAGTTGCGGGTGCGTGTCATCTTCTGGCTGATCCAAATCTCCAGTCGATTTCGGCTACTTTCCACCCATTAGTCACTCAAATTAGTCTCAATCAACCATTATTACCTCAATTATAGCGTTGACGTTAGTTATCATACGCTCATTAATATATATTCCCGATCAAGCTGAAGAGCCAAGAAGGGCATTCGCCCCCCTGCCCTCCCAGAGCTTCCTCAACATCAACGAAGACAGTACGATCGGTCTGCCCCTGGAGCCAGCTGGGCTCCAGCCCTTCGAGGTAGTTGAGGACACAGCATGCATATCAGAAGCGATAACATCCCTCCAATTAGCCCTGGAGATGAAGCTCTCGGGAAAGAAAAAGAAAGCCATAAAATTATTCCAACACGCAGTGGCACTGGCCCCCCAGCATCCAGACGTTCTAAATCACTACGGGGAATTCCTGGAGCACACTCAGAACGACGTCATCAGGGCCAACGAATTCTACGTGCGTGCCCTCACGTACGAGCCCAATCACGAAAGTGCGATGATGAACAGGGAGAGGACAGCCAGAGTAGTCGAGGAGTTGGACAAACGCATGCTCAGGAGGATCGACGAGAAGAGGGATGCACTCTCCGCTATTCCCGATCAAAATGCTGCTCTGATAAGGGCTAAGAAAGAGGCGTATTTCCAGCATATTTATCACACTGTTGGGATTGAGGGGAACACCATGAATCTAGCGCAGACCAGGGCTATTGTGGAGACGAGAACTGCAGTTGCTGGGAAGAGCATCGATGAACACAATGAGATTCTTGGGCTGGATGCTGCTATGAAGTATATTAACGCCACTTTGGTCAACAGGTATGCAAATAGGGGGACTAAATAATTTACGGAAGAAGGATCATGGGAAATGTGGAGAACACAATTCAGTAGCAAAGTGGTAAAACGATTTTGATGAGGGTCATTTGATTTGAGGCTTAAAAAGGAGTTTAAGGCCCGGGTGGATTATCTTTTGAACGTTTTCTAGATTGTTTTTCCATCTTCACAATGTAAAATGTGGACGTCCGCATGAAAAGGGACCACTTTGTCGATATGGAGTTATGCATACTCTGATAATATTTAAAACGCTCTTTGAAAATGTTCAGCTTTTTTCAAGGTTTTTTTGATTCTACAATCATAATTTTTGGAGACTCCACGGCTGCGTGAAACTGAATATCAATTGGAGATCATTTCAGAGCATCAAAATAAAAAAAGAACGAAGATCACGTTCGAAAGATAATCCGACCGAGCCTTGAGTCAATTTTGATTATTGGTCAGTTTTCAATGAATATCTCGGAATCTAAGGGAGATAGGAAAATTTTTATAATGAACTTTTTGTAGAGCCGATTGAGAGCTACAACAAATGTAATGACGATAATTTCGCTATCTCACTTAGATTCGGAAATACTCCTTAAAAACTCGACTGGGAGATAAGTAGACTTAAACCGTTTTCCCACTTCGCTACTGAATTTATTGAATTCAATAAATTGATCACCTTATTTTTTATTTAACGTTTTTTGTAGGATTGGATCGATATCTCTGAAGGATATAATGGAGATTCATCTTAGAGTGCTGGGGCACGTGGATCCAATCCAGGGTGGTCATTTTCGGAGAACACAAGTCTATGTTGGTGGACATATTCCTCCAGGCCCGGGGGATATTCATTACCTCATGCAGGAATTTGCGTCTTGGTTGAATAGTGAGAGAGCTATACGAATGCATCCGGTGAGGTATGTGTTACTTCATCAATTATTTTTCACGTGAAGTGCAGCCCATCAGGGCCCACGTTTAAAAAACTTCATTAAAAGAAATTGGTAATTGAAAGAACTTGAAGATAAAAACGTGAACAACTTGAACTTCGCTTTATTCAATTGTTTTATTGAATAAAAAACAAAAATAGAGCATTAATAACACTAAGAGCGTTCATACAGTTCATTTAACCAGGTTTTTTGGACCAAGTTTTTTTGAGGGTCTCTCGCGCCACCGTAATCATATGGAATATATCAAAATTCTATTCTATTTATTCACAAAGTGTTTAGCATTGAACTGATGGGTATAGACCTGGATAAATTCAATAAAACACGTAAAGTTGAGGGAAATTGTTTAATTTATTAAACTGTAGTGCTCCTCTAGGCCCAACCCGAATATAAACATCCCAAAAAGCGTACATACAGGGAAATGAAACGTGATATCAAATTATGTCCCTTTGATTGTTTATTTTTACTTTTACTATTTTCAAAAATAAATGAAAGAATAAAAAATACAACGAACCACTAAATTAATTACGCGAATTTACTTCTCTAGTAAATATAAATAATCGTCTTTTGTTCAATTAGATATGCTGCATTGGCTCACTACAAACTAGTGCACATCCACCCCTTCTCAGACGGCAACGGAAGAACATCGAGACTGCTTATGAACACTATTTTAATGCAAGCTGGATACCCACCTGTGATAATCCACAAGCAGCATCGCCACAAGTACTACGAGTACCTCCAGATAGCGAATACTGGAGACGTGAGGCCATTCGTTCGATTCATCGCCGAATGTACTGAGCAGACACTAGACCTATTCCTGTGGGCAACAACTGAATTCTCCAAAGAAGTACCCGCTCTCAGCCAGGAGTCCCTCATGAGGAATCGCCACAGGACGATTGTACTCGATCCTGAGGGCAGTGGCGACTTTATTAACGATTAAGAACGTAGAACTCTCTAGGTCTCATTCACTCGCATTTCTCATAACCCGAGAATTAATCCGATAATATGTGATAGTAGAGCTTTCCCTCAGGAACATTGATAATCGACGCAGACAAGTTCTCAGATAAAATTAGCCAATTTGTATATACAATTAATTTAATTCGTTCACGTTAACCTGGAAATTGACATTTTCCTCTATATTTTGTAATTATTTTTCTTCGGAAATTTTGCAGAATATTTACATTAATCTATTGATAACGTCGAGAGCTCGATGTGGAATGCATTTACTTGCTGGTCGAGTTATTTATTCCTTTCTCGTTAATAAATTATTCATACTTTTGAGGAAATACAATCTGCTGTTGAAGATCATCATTTACCTTGGAATAGTACAACAATAAAATTTTGTTTTAGTAATGACAATTTATTCAAGTAGATTTTCATCATCTCCAATAGAATTTTCGTGATATGGTCTCTGTACACTGGGCATGCCACAACTTAAAGCGAGTAATCGATGTCCAATCCTCGTTTAACATTTTTCATCATCTCTCAAAGGCCACTAATATCAATCGTCCACACCTCGAATGCGAATATTGAGGAATCTAAGAATAAATACATTACCAAAAGAGTGGACATTCTTCGAAAGCTTCATATTTTCTCAGTTACATGCTTGGATTACGAAAAAAATAGTAAATGAAATCAAATGACAATTTTACGTGAATTTAATAAAAAGTATTACTGACTAAACAGAATAAAATATTTAAAAAAAATACTCGAGACGATTCATATTCACTCCACAGTAAAATTTAAATTCAATCATCTTACCATCTAAACTGTTATCATTCTGGATTCAGTCGTTATTTGGTTTTTAAATTTTTATTATTACGTTATAGGACTTGAGAAGCTATTATGCTTTATTCACTGGGGGATCCGCCAGGGCGAATCGATAATCGTAGAAAAAAAAACAAAAGTTTGATAAACAATGCGATTGATGGGTGATGAGTTAATGGAAAAAGCAAAATAATAATTAAGAATTTATAATAAATAATCGCCACGTCGGGTCCCTCAGGGATTAAAAATTTCATGAATTATCCTGACACGACTATTCATTTCTTTTATTTCTATCTATTTTTCATGAGAAATACCACTGGGCATCGAACAAACTCACAATCATTGATCCCACGCATTCTATCACTGTTCAATGACACTTCGACCATTCAATGTTCTTCCAATTTTCCCACCTGTTGCATGATAATAACTTGAATTTTTTGAATTTCCTCTCACATATTTTAATCAACGCTCTCCATACTCATCAAACGTCCTGCGTCTTATCTAAACATAATCGTACATCTCCAAGCTTTCATTAATACAAATGTTCTCCTCTCCCCTTTGAATTTCACTCTTCAAATAAATTACAGCCAGTGCTCAATGGACATTTAAAAATCTCCCTCTGAATACAGAATAAAGAATTGATGATTTGACGTGATGCCATCAGAATGAAAGAGCTCGCTACACTTGGTCAGGCCATTTTTAAATTTCCTCGATTTAACATTGAAAATATACCGGAGACACTTGTAAATCCGGTTAGTAAAATTCTCACAAATGATTTAAGCATTTTACATCGCTAAATTAATGAATTCAGCTAATCAACGTATTCACCGAACGCAGGGACTTATCATTAAAAGAGTATTTTTGAAAAATTCTGGGTTATCAGGCAAAGATCGAAAATATTGGCAATTACCTGAATGTTCATTAAGATTCTCAATACTTTTGTTGTCATGGATATTTATCATAAAGAGAAAAAAATCATTGAGAAATGAAAATAATTTTTAGAGCACTGGAGATTGAATCCAATAAATTGGTCATGTCCGATCGATAATTCTCGATCGTAATGATCGAAATGGATGATTTATTCAGTTAAACTCGTTCTCTATGTACCACAATAAATTTTCTCACGTTCGTTAAAAATGATGATTTAGGAAAATCCCCCCTCGATATGCAAGCAGGAAAAATTCACATGACAGTGGTAAAATCGATTAATTTTCTCTTCATCTATTTCCCATTTTTTTCTCGTTTGTGTTAATTCAACCAAGCGGAGTTTAATTGTATCGGGAGTTGCGGGTGCGTGTCATCTTCTGGCTGATCTGCTCCTCTTGGAGCAGTTGACTACGAAATTGACTGACTTGATCCAACGCTGCGTTGAGAGTGTCACGCTGCTGCAGCAACAATTCTTCCCATTTTTTCGCGTACGCTGAAACACAGAATATTTGAATCCCGGAAAGCTGAGACCCGTTAATACGACAGTTTAACTTTCTTTCAAAGCAAATGTGAGGATTAATTATCATTAAATTGTGATGTCAATCCCTTTGGCGATGAAAACGTTATGAGGGGTAATGAAAAGCGAATTTGACGATCACTTTACGATCAAAAACACCCAGTTGTGGGTTAAAATAATCTCATATCCATAAATATTAGTCTTGGCATTCGTTGCGAGTGTATATTAGATCAAATAAATCCCTATTAGTAGAACGAATTTACAAGACAACTGTTAGAACTGCGAATTCAACGAAAAATAACATTTATTAATAGTAAATTCATTATGATACATTTTACGGAAGCTCAAGGTTTGTATTTACTCTTTAATATTTCATGTCATTCCAATGTAATCGACCTGCGAAGACGATTGTCTTCGATTCCACCAGGACCTTGTACTCCATGAGACACGAAAAAGAAAAAAGGTAATGAAGTGAGCTACGATTTATCCATGAATAGAACCGAAAGCAATTCTCTCATTCATTGCCAATAAATATTATTCCTGGAGGGAATCCCACAATGTGATATGATGAATGCTGTAATCAATGTGAAACAATTTGCCCAATTTGTGATTAGTACTTAATAAATTGAATAATTAAATGAATGTAGAAGCGATTACATGATTTTTTTTAAAATCTCCCTCACTAATGAGTGAACAGCTTCTGATCGTTATTTAATATCGTACCGTCTGAAAACTGTATTCTCTCAATAAGACGTCTAGTCAAGGAGAACCTCCTCGTCAGGTAGGGCGACTCAAACTTTGTTCTTTTCCGTCTCAAATCTGCAAGGTTTTCTGGCGTTACACTTTCCATTTTTTGTAATTATGTTTCATTAAGTTATTCTATCAAAAGAATAATCAAGTCTGGATGAAATTGGGTACAATTTAATGGAATATATGCATTCACATTAATGCTTAAGCATTAATTATCTTGAGGGTAACAGTGTGTGGGTGAAAGTGAGTCTAGACTTAATCAATAACAATAAATTTGCTTGAATTTAAATTGATTTGGATTCTGAAGAAAATTAATTGATTACTAATTATACATATTATACTCGTGCCATGCGTCAACACATGTGATCAACAGCTGAAATTTACTCTCTACATGATTCATTTGCATTCTGAATATCACTGTGTCATTCCAGATGCCCCCCATGAGCTAAATCATCAAATAAATTCATGAATTTAAAATTAAATCCTCTATATTCCCTAATAAATGCTCAAACTAAATTGAACTGATGTGTAAAAGAACGCTAAATGTAAAAAATTACGTAAAATTTAGTATTCCGAGGAATTTAATCGTCATCAGTACGGCGACTCAAACGTTGTTGGTCTCACTTTATGTTTTCCATCATTATATCGTATTGAATTATTCTATCAAAAGAATAATTAATTCTGGACGAAACCGGGTACAATTCAATGGAAAATATGCGTTTATACTAATGCTTAAGCATTAATTATCTTAAGGGTAAAGTACACAAGTGAAAGTGACTCTCGATTTAATCAATAACAATAAATTTGCTTGAATTTAAATTGATTTGGATTCTGAAGAAAATTAATTGATTACTAATTATACATATTATACTCGTGCCATGCGTCAACACATGTGATCAACAGCTGAAATTTACTCTCTACATGATTCATTTGCATTCTGAATATCACTGTGTCATTCCAGATGCCCCCCATGAGCTAAATCATCAAATAAATTCATGAATTTAAAATTAAATCCTCTATATTCCCTAATAAATGCTCAAACTAAATTGAACTGATGTGTAAAAGAACGCTAAATGTAAAAAATTACGTAAAATTTAGTATTCCGAGGAATTTAATCGTCATCAGTACGGCGACTCAAACGTTGTTGGTCTCACTTTATGTTTTCCATCATTATATCGTATTGAATTATTCTATCAAAAGAATAATTAATTCTGGACGAAACCGGGTACAATTCAATGGAAAATATGCGTTTATACTAATGCTTAAGCATTAATTATCTTAAGGGTAACAGTACACAAGTGAAAGTGACTCTCGATTTAATCAATAACAATAAATTTGATTGAATTTAAATTGATTTGGATTCTGAAGAAAATTAATTGATTACTAATTATACATATTATACTCGTGCCATGCGTCAACACATGTGATCAACAGCTGAAATTTACTCTCTACATGATTCATTTGCATTCTGAATATCACTGTGTCATTCCAGATGCCCCCCATGAGCTAAATCATCAAATAAATTCATGAATTTAAAATTAAATCCTCTATATTCCCTAATAAATGCTCAAACTCAATTGAACTGATGTGTAAAAGAATGCTAATTTACATAAAATTTAATATCCTGAGGAATTTAATCGTCAACAGTAGCGTGACTCGAACTTTGTTCTTTTCACTTTTCATTTTTGATAATTATATTTTCTCCTTAAATTATTCAATCGAAAGAATAATTAACATATGCATTTACACTAATGCTTAAGCATTAATTATCTTAAGGGTAACAGTACACAAGTGAAAGTGACTCTCGATTTAATCAATAACAATAAATTTGATTGAATTTAAATTGATTTGAATTCTGAAAAAAATTAATTGATAACTAATTATACATATTATACTCGTGCCATGTGTCAACACAATTGATCAATACTTGAAATTTACTCTCTACATGATTCATTTGCATTCTAAATATCACTGTGTGTCACTCCAGATGCCCCCCATGAGCTAAATCATCAAATAAATCCCCGAATCTAAAAATAAATCCTCCATAATCCCTAATAAATGCTCAATCCTCAATTAAACTGACTTTTAAAAGAACGCCAAGTGTAAAAATTCCCATAAAATTCAATATTCCAAGTATCTACTCATCATCACCATGCATATAAATAAAAATGGTGATATAGATCACTGGTAGAAATGCAAACATCATAACATTAACTAAAAATGCCACAAAAAAATCCCTAGCTCTTCGACAAAACGAGGGCTTCTCGTTATTATCGTTACCCCCGTGCTGATACCGAGGGACATTCAGTGGATTCAACTCATCATCATCATCACCATCATCATCATCATTATCATTAACAAACAAATCATTCGTCGTAAAAATATCGGAATTTTCCCCACTCATCCACCCAATATTACTCCCAATCTTTCCGAATCTCTGTCTGAGGGCATTGACTTTTCCATAATCACTCAGATTCACAAAGTCCTCAGCAGCCCCAGCGTCGTCCTCATTCTCACAGAAATTACGACTGTCATTCCCATTCTCCCACCAATCGTCTCCAATCTTCAGGTCATCATTCAGAGAATCCCCAGATTCACAGTTGGAATGACGATGAATCGTCCTCGTCGCATTTAAATGAAAGACTCTAGCCTCAGTCTCTGGATCTCGCCCATAGAAGAATCCAGGGTCCACAGGGCTCGGTGTCCTCGTCACTGAGCAAAATTGCGTTTTCCTCTCGACCGATGAAATATTCCTGGAGAATATCGAGCGTTTCGCCCGATCAAACTGCCCAGTCCAGCTGTATTTCGAGATCTTTTTCTTGGTGGTGAGTGACCAACGTCTTCTCGGGGTCGACGAGCTCTTCTTCAGGGCTGGGCGTGCAGCTGTTCTCTCCGCCTTCCTGGCTGGCACTGACACACAGTTCACTCGCTTTTTCTTCGACCTCGGGGTCGACCTCGTCATTTCCTTGACGGATATTTCACTAGAGCTGGAGCTCTCTGGGCTCTCAAATTTCCAGGGTGATCTTGTGATGGATAATGGGGTTATAACGCACTTTCTGCTGAGATCCTCGTCGCAATCGTTGGTGAGGGACGCATCTGGTGACTCGCCACCGCCTCCCCAATTGCCAATCAATTCCAAGAACGTATTTCTCGGGGGGTTAGAGCTCGCATCTGTCATGAGAACGCGAGTCACAATGTGATTGTCGTGATAATTCAGTTGTTTCTCTTGATCGTTTTCTCTTTCTCTCACTTTCTCTCTCGACAATTCGATATTATTTATCCGAGCTTAAGGGGAGGAGCTTTCTCATGGATTTACAAGCACTAATTTGGTCAATTGGTATTGACTCATTCGGTAACGAACGGTGGAAAACATTTTTGAAAAAAAATTTTTTTGTGGGTTATTACTCATTCTGATTGGTTTGGAGGATAAAAAATGTTAAAAGCAAACAAGCTTTCTGTACAATTCTAGTTCTAGTTCTAGTGCACTTGTACATCACAACTCGAGGTGAATACTGAAGGAACGTGCAGATTTGTGGAATTGTGAGAATTCTTACCTTCTTGATCGTAATCGACTTCGTGGGTTGCACTGAACACTCCGTGAGCGTCGTTCAGGAATCTTGTGGTATTGTCCATGACGAGTTTGTGCGTATCTAGGACTTCCTCCTCCATCAGTTGCAGGGCTGATACTGCCTCGTGGAACGTGTAGAGATCTTGGGAGAGTTCACCCTCCTGGAATGACAATAAAAAATTATTTTCTTTTATTAATTCAAAGAAAATGTTGACGGACTCCATCTCAGGTTCATTACCTTCTATATAATTGTTGATATTTTTTATTCTACATTATCGAAATGGTTTTATATTCAATGACTTGAGCATGCGTGAGTGGAAGTGAGATCCGATTTAATCAATGATGACGAATTTGATCGAATTTGATTTGATTTATACTCAAATAATAAGCAAATTCATTATTATTTGTACATATTATTTACCCTCGACCTGATTCATTCCAGATGTACCTCATTGCTAAATCATCAAATATATCCATGAATATAAAAATAAATTGGCCATAATGGCCAATAAATGCTCAATGACCAATTGAAATGACTTTAAAAAAATCCTTTTGGAATGTCAATAAAAAATTATTTTCTTCTATTAATTTAAAGAAACTGTTGATGGACTCAATTTCATGTTGATTACAATTCTTTTAATTGTTGATATTCTTGTTTTACTGTAAATTATCGAAATTGTCTTATATTCAATGACCTGAGCATGTGCGAGTGAAAGTAAGTCTTGATTTAATCAATAAACAATTAATTTGATTAAATTGAATTTAATTTATATTCTAAAAAATTTTATTATTATCTGCACATATTATTTACTCTTTACATTATTCATTTGCATTCTGAATATCATTGCGTGTCATTTCAGATGCATCCCATGAGCTAAATCATCAAATACATCCATGAATATAAAAATAAATTCTCCATAATGGGCAATAAATGCTCAATGATCAATTGAACTGACTTAAAAAAAATGTTAATTGCATAAACTGAGGTAAAATTTAATATTCTGAGATGGTGTTGCAGAAAAATTTCGAGAAACTGTTGATGGACTCCATTTAATGCCCATTTTATTCAATTGTTAATATTATTTTACTGTGAATTATGAAAATGGACTCACATTTAATGACCTGAGCTGCGCGAGATCGCTATCAGAAAGCACACTGTCATTCGCCTGCTCGTCAATCTTGAATAGTCGATCATCATCAGTGGGTGAGGCCTTCATTTCAGTTGGATCTGTGGCTGCGAGCTCCTTGACACGATCAGCGTATCTCAAGGTGTTGAGTGAATGCTCGCAGGAGCTCATTCCCGGACTGATCATGGCAATCATGCAAGTCCTTGATTTTTCACCGATGAAACTGTCCCTCAGTACTTGTGTGAGCTTACTAGCTCGGAAAGGTAAGTGGGTGCCTTTACGTCCCAATGCTCGGATACATTCCTTCAGGGCGAGGAGAGATTTGTTGATCTCTGCGCCCTCCATTCCTATTATCACCAAAATACGTTGTTGATTATTAAAAACACGTAGTTGAGGGGAGAAATGTCGTGGGAATTTTTTTACAGTTGAGGGAATTTACATTAAATTTTCTTTTCACTGTCACATATGAAAATTCTGTAGCTTCATAATTAAATTATTAGAATTTTGATTTCTACTTGTTCCAAATATTATTGCTGTGTTGAATTTCAATTTTGATTTACGTCTCATGTGAATTATTTATTTTTAGTAGAATTAAAAAGTATTATTTCTTTTCGTTTTTCCTTTTAATTATGTGGTATTTCAATCGCAGACAAAAAATTCATTAAATTAAGACCTCAATTAATCAATAATTTAAATTGTTTAAACATTCGGAGACATTATTCTTTTAGGCATCAGATCGATTTCTGGTAAAATTCTGAATATGAATACATTTGTTACGATTCCCAGCAAATAATTTTTATTTACAGAAAATGCTCGCAATTATTAAAAATTGTAATTTTTAAATTATTTCATCAATCTTTCTCCAAAAGTAAACTTTCCGTTTTTTTAAGATTTTTAAAATGATTTCAAACGGTTCAATATCGAAATTCTAATTCAGACCCGCAATATTTAAATAACAAAATCATTGTGAAATGTCCGGAAACTTGGGGTCAAATGAGGCTCAAATGAATGCTCTGATATTCGACTACAACAGTAGAAAATCATTTTACTGGAATAAAAATAGCCAAAGTACTTGGATATCCTTAAAAAAATGAAAATTAATTTTTTCTCAATATTCAAATCATAAATGATCTTACGAGTTTGTCTGTTGGCAGATGACGTATCAGCGCCCCTCTCATTGCCAGCCAAATCGATGAGCGAAAATTTCCCATGAATTTTATGCGTACCCGGTGTCCTCACAACAATCTGAAAAACTGCATGTGATCTCGATGAATTCGAGTTGGCACTAGTTTGCCCACTAGTCCTAGCGCTGTTCCCATGCTGAATGAGTTTCAGTACTTCATCACAAGTTTCCACGACCTTCTCAGTCAATCCCACAATCTGAACCTGCTGCTTACCATCCTCCAGCACTCTGAGCTTCTCTTTATCAGCAAGAAGATCGAATACTTTGCCGGAATAAATTTCGAAGAAGCTCGCTGATATTACCAGGTTGAGTCCCCTGTACTTCGGGGATTTGAGATACTTGAAGACGTCTTTGGCGACCATCGCGTAGATTCCCTTCTTGCAGTCCTGGGTTTTGCCGTTAAAGTCCCCTCCCATCGTGTGGGTTTTTCCACTTCCTGTCTGGCCATAAGCAAAACACGTCGCCATGCCGCCCTCGAAGATCGTCTGCACCAGGGGCTTCGCCGTGTACTTGTAGACAATTTCGTTTGTGCAGGTCTCATCGAATGCATAGTCAAATCTGAACAATTGGTTCTCCAGGTATTTTGTCAGATCCACTTTTGACTTTGGCTCGTGCACCACCATTTGATCCTTGCTTGGGACACTTATGACGTCCACTTCTTTGCGATTTGCTTCTTTACGATTCAGTGGCCTCTTACGAACACAGACGGTTATTTGGTGGTCCTCAACGGCGTCGGTTTCACGGAGTGGCCTGAAGTCTATGCTATTCTGGTATTCTCTGCGTATTTTTCATTGTGGTTAGTTTTTGGAGACAATTTTTCATGTTATTATCGTTATTCAAAAGAGAAAAAATCTTGTCTTCGTGTTATTGTTTAACGATTGTTGGATAACTGAGGAATTCTTTATGCATTAGTTGATTTGAAATTGAAAGAAAATGTTATCATTTGAATTCAAAACAAAAAAATCTTGGGATCATGTTATTGTTTCACAATCATCTGATCGCAGAGATTTTTTTGATGAATTATTTAATGGAAAACGCAAAAAAATGTTATAATTTTTATTCAAAACAAAAAATCTTGGGATAATGGCATTGTTTAATTATCATTAGATCTCTGACAATTTCTTTAAATAATTATTTTATGATTCCTGAGAATTTTTTAATGAATTATTTAATGTGAAATGCAAAAAAATGTTATCATTTTCATTTCAAAAGAAAAAAACTCTTGGAAAGATGTTATTGTTTCACGATCATGAGTTCCGTGAGACGTTCTTTATGCATTATTCGATTTAAAGTGAAGAAAAATATTACCATTTTTATTCAAAAGAAAAAAGGAATGTTATAAATTTTATTCAAAACAAAAAATTTTGGGATCCTGTTATTGTTTAACAATCGTCAGTTCCCTGAGAAGTTCTTCTTGCATTGGTTGATTTAAAATGAAAAAAGAATGTCATCATTTTTATTCAAAAGAAAAAAATTATAGGATCGCGTCATTGTTTAACGATCATTAGATCGAATTATTTCATGTAAAGTGGAAAAAATGTTATCATTTTTACTCAAAATAAAAAAACCTGTGGGTCGAATGTACTATGGATTCATTTACCTGATCATAGCCAGAAACTCCCAATTAGGATTGCCAGGATCTAGATTCATCAACGCCTCCTTCTCCTCCTTGAGTTCAGCCTGTCGTTGCCTCCTCTCCTCTCGATTTTTCTTCAGTCTCTCAACCTCCTTAACAACATTAGATCGTCTTCCCCTGCCGTTCTCCACTTGTGACTGATTGCTCTGCAACTGCTCCTGCTGCTGCTGCTGTTGTTGTTGCTTCTGCTGCAATTGCTGCTGTGTTTGGGGAGGCTGGATCTGTTTGGCTTTGTTGATGGACGAGGAGGTGACGTTGGAGAATGTCGGCGCCGTTGGTGTCGGGGGAATGTTCTCTAATTCACGACGACTCGTCAAGCCTGACACGGAGTCGTGACCATTCACTGAGGTGACAGGTGGCATTATGTTCGTTGGTCTTCCGGTCTGTCTGGCTATCTGACGATTGGAACCTGCTGTGGGATATTAAAATGTGATTATTGATAATTTTATCGTCTAAATAGAATTTTATGGGCAATACTAATTGTTATAACTGAAGTGGGAAAACGAGACGTGTTGATTTTACTTAAAGTGAGTTTTTCATGAATATCTCGAAAACTAGGAGAAATGGCGACATTTTCGTGAGGACCTTTTTTGTAGAGGAGATCAAGAGCTGCAAGAATGGTGGATACGAAAATTTCACTATCTCTCTTAGTTTCCGAGATATTCTCAGAAAACTAATTTCCCAAAAATGTGAAATTAAATTCCACTGTTTCAGAATAAGTTTTTTGTGAATATCTTTGAATCTATGGAGGGTAGCAACATCTTTATAAGAACTTTTTTTGTAATTCTAATGTTCCCCTATAGAAAGGTTCTTGACACAAATTTCGCCATCTCTTTTATTTTTCGAGAAATTCTCAAAAAACAATTTCCCAAAAGCGTGAAATTAAATTATTCTGTTTCACTGTTTCAGAATAAGTTTTTTGGAAATATCTCTGAACCTATGAACGATAGCAACATTTTTATAAGAACCTTTTTTCTAGTTCTAATGTTCCCCTATAAAAAAGTTTTTGACAAAAATTTCGCTATCTCTCTTACTTCCTGAGATATTCATAAAAAACTGATCTTGACGCTAAATTACGCTTGAATTAGCATCAACTACCTTTACACTTGGGTGATGGTGCCTCAATGGCAATGACCGCGGCTTTTTCGTCAACAATTTGATTCCTCCTTTTAAAAAAATGCGCCCACGGTATGAATTTCATTTCGGCTAATTAGATTTCAATATTCACAGTACTAAATTTAAAAAAAAAATTCGCTTCGACAATCGATATTGGATAATTCGGGGTGAAAAAATAGTGCAGAGGGTCTGAGTGCCTCGTGCCGGTGTGCACAGAACACTGTCTAACCCGTCGGGGTCCTTGCCCTTGTGCGTTAGCTATAGCCGAGACACAGGGTGTTGTATAGCGTATGAATATCGATAGTCACAGTATGTATACAACACGCGGAGGCCATTACACGTTAGTTGGCAGACTTTTGGGAACTGTAGCAGCCAATTCACCTTGTGACGGGATAATTACCATTACTACTGACACACATACGACTCCACTCCTGTTAGCGATTTTTTAATTTCGAAGTAACGAATTTCTGAGAATTTATTATTTCCAGGAATTTATTATTCCTGGGTTATTGTTCGGTCAACCTTAGAGGTTTTTAAGGCGTAAATTACATGGAAAGAGGGATGATGAGGCTATCCATTCACTTTTGAGGGAACTGTTTCTAAATTATAAAAATCCAAATCGACTTCTGGTGATAAAAATTTGGCACTTGAAATTAAGAGTCCAAAATTAAGGGTCACAAGGGTCTGATTAAGGGTTGTGAGGATCAGAATAAGGGTCACAAGGATCCGATTAAGGGTTACAGGGGTCAGATTAAGGGTCATAAATGTCGCGAGGATCCAATTAAGTGTTACGGGGGTCAGATTAAGGGTCATAAGGGCCGCCAGGGTCATAATAGGAGTCACGAGGGTCAGATTAAGGGTCATGAAGGTCAGTATAAGGGTCATGAGTCTGATTACGGGTTTCCAAGGGTCTGAATAAAGGTTTAAATAAAGGTCACAAGGGTCAGTTTAAGGGTCGTACGGGTTATTAAGGATTACAGGGATCAGATTAAGGGTTGCGAGGGTCAGATTAAGGGTTGCAAGGGTCAGATTAAGGGTCATGAAGGTCAGTATAAGGGTCACGAGTCAGATTACGGGTCACAAGGGTCTGAATAAGGGTCAAAAGGGTCAGATTAAGGATCATACGAGTCAGTAACGATTACAGCGGTCAGATTAAGGGCCATGAGGGTCGCGAGGGTCAAAATAAAAGTCATCAGAGTCAGATTCAGATCACAAGGGTCAGAATAAAGGTCCCAAGGGCCAGATTAACGGCCATACGGGTCAGATTAAGGGTCACCAGAGTCAGAATAAGGATTATAGGGGTCATGTTCGGGTTATATGTGCACAAATTAATAAATGCGGAGGCAATGAAAAAAATTCGGAAGTAACGAATTTACGGGAATGAAAACTAATTCGTTTGGGGAACACTTCGATTCAGCGAATTGCTTCATTAAGTGTCTTATTACTCACAACCCCTCGAGCATTCTCAATTAAACTAAAAATATATGAAAATAGAAACAAAAATTGTACCTTTAACTGGAATAGACGGCCTCGTAGAATGCTGAAAATAACCATTAAACGATTAATTCATGTCATGAACAGATAAGGACATGTGCCCAAGTGCATTGCAGCTACGAATAAAAAATAAAATAAAATCATTAGATTCTCTGGGTTTCGAAGCTGTGTCTGCGATGAAGCTCCATGAGCCCAGGTATTTTCATGTGTCATGTCGTTATTTACAATTTTTTATGGTGACTAGGCATTTGCAGATGATGCGTGAATCGTCATTAAACCTCTTCACAGTTGTGAATGCAGACAAGTGTCACGTAAAAGTGTGAATATTAAGCCCCACATGTATCATCACATGATTATTGAACCTTCCTGACGCCTAGTGTTGGTGAATAGCTGTGCGATTTCTACGATTAACGTGAAATTACTCGTGTGAAATGGTTTGGTGAAATAATTTTTTCCCCATTGATAAATTCCCGGAAATTTTTTCCCGTCAATTTTTCCTCAGCGAATTTTTCCGCTTCAATGTAGAATTTTCTCCAGAGTTATTTTTCCTCGTTGAAAAATTCCCAGAAATTCTTTCTCTGTGATTTTTTCTCGGTGAGTTTTTCCCTTTTAAGTTAATTTTTCTTATTAATTTTTTCCATGGGGGATTTTGCTTGGATGTTTTTTCAGAAAATACTAATTGAATTTCTTTTTCATCACACTGTTCGTCATTACATTTACATTTATTGAAATTTGACTCGCACAGCTAATTTCTTTTTGTTTAATATAAAAATTTGCGCCATTCATGTAAAATAGGCCGAAAAATTATCCTTAAAATATTTAAATATACTCTCAATTCTTTCAGAAACATAATTTTTCGAGTCATTTTACATGAATAGTACTATTTTTTATTAACAAAAAAAATTAATTTCAGAAAACTAATTCGTAATTGTTATTGCCCACATTTTTTCTAAGATTTAAAAAAAAAACCTCTGTGACTTGAAAATTGGAGGCCCTGGACTACTATTTTCCAGGGAAATTCCCCTTATTTTTTTTTTTCTTGAGGAGATGTGAACTTTTTTCGGGAAACACTTTCCGGGGGAAAAAATTTCCGGCGAATTTTCCACAGAAAAAAAAATCCTGCAACCAAATAACTTCGTGTGCGCGATTAACAATGAACGTCAAGTTACTCGTACAGATAATGTTGCCGATGTCAGGCCGTTTCTAGTGGTCTGTCCACCGTGACGCCCCAACGAGCCGTCCTCCTGGTTATCCAGATCGTCCGGATCTTCATCCTCCTCGCCGGACGAGTCCTGCTCCCCGTATCCATCGTGTTTTTGTATTATACAAGATTTTTAATATTCGCAATCGGTGTTTGTGGTGATGGAGAACACACGTAAAAGAATGGAATGAAAGAAAATAATGAGACATCGTTCGAGGATGAATGCAGAGTGTGAGAATTTGATTCACAAAATAAATTACCAAGATGAGGGTGGTTGGGAGGGGATTATTTGTTCAGCGTTAAAAGTTGGGGGCATGACAATGGTCACCAGATGCGTTGTTATCGGTCCGTCATTGACATTCGGTAGCAGCGTCCACATGAAGAGGAAAAGATATTTCACATTAGTTTCACCACTGAGTTTATCATCAAGATATACTTCAATTAATTTATCAATTAAGGCCCGGCTGTACCATCTTTCGAACGTTATCTCGATGTTTTTTTTCATCTTTCGTCGTCTGAAATTGTCAATTAAGTCCTGCATCACGCAGAAGTTTTGAAAAATTATGAATGAACAATCAAAAAAAAGTAGAAAAAATTCTTAATTTTTTCAAAGAGCATTTTTAATTTATATTCAGAATAAGTTGAATAACAAGAAATTGAAAAATGTATCTGATTTACGGTGACAAATGGCGGCCTGTCACCCAATGTCATGCAGGGGGAAGACTGATTTCGTAAATGTTTTCCCACACTGCACAGAGACATTTATTACGGAAAAGGCTCTTTGAAAAAAGTTGTAATATTTTGGAGAATTTTTTAATCACACTTTTATCACATAAAAATGGCAGATGACTACATACCACTGTTTTGAAAATTGAGATACCTAGCTGTCACTTCCCATGAGGAGTTAGTGTTTTG